CTTCTCAGTGCTGATGTGTCTGGGGGATTGGTTATCAGGAATATTTACTGAATGTAAACAGAAGTAATACATGAGAGTCCTGGCAAGACAGAGATGTGTCTCATCCACACACTTCTGGGCCTGAAAACTGCGTGTTAACTGCTACTTGAGCGCCCTCTGGGGACCAAATTTTTAAAACATTTACATCTTGTGATAAAGCCCTCCCCAGTCATTAAGTACACAGCTGGCCACGCGCAGCTGAGATCACATCAGCATATTTGGACTAAGAATCAGAGCCAGTTCCCCCTGACTCCAGGCTTCCATTACTGTAGACCCAGAGAGGCAATGGTGACGATTCATGTAACTGGGCTACTTCCACCTAAAAGGAGACCTGGACTGGACTGCCCAGACTTCACCAACCAGTGTGGATATTAGCAGTGAGTCAGCAAATGGGAGAGTGCTTGTCTCTCTCTCTCAAATAAATACAACCAACCAGATTATTTGTTAAGAAATGTAATAAATACAAGAGGGTGTCCAAAAAGCATGAGGCATTATGAAAAAGCTATGCATAAATTTCAAAAAGTTTGCATTAGAATAAACTTAGTGTTTCATAAAGTTTCTGAAGAACCTTCACATGGTACTTAGCACACATTGGTGACAAGCACAATGTTCAACTCTGGACACACAGGTTACATAAAAACAAACTTCTAAAAAAACCCTTCTGAATTCTTTATGCATAAAGTCAGAACCCTCTGAACGTTTCTAAGCATCGTAAGCAGATGGCCATGCAAGCATGGTACTCCTACTGGCCCTGGAGGAAGTAAGACAACAAAAACAATAAAAGTGCTTTCTGAGTGCCATGGATATAATTTTATCATAATTTGTTTAAGCAAGATGTTCAATCTTAATTTTAAAAAAAGATGTATTTATTTTTATTTGAAAGGCAAAGTTACAGAGAGAAGAAAAAAAGACCTTCCATCTATTGTTTCACTTCCTAAATGGCCACACTGACTAGAGCTAGGATGATCTGAAACAAGAGCCAGAAGCTTCTCCTGGGTTCCCCACGTGGGTGCAAATGCCCAAGGCTTTGGGCCATCTTCGTTGCCTTTCCAAGCCTTAAGTAAGAAGCTGGCTGGGAAGTGGAGGAAGCAGCTGAGACATGAAACAGGACCCATATGGGATGTCAGTGCTTGCAAGTGGAAGACCAGCCTGTTGAGCCACTGTTCCAGCTCCAAAATGTTCAGAATCTTTAAGTGAGAAGAGGTTTAAATATCCTTTCCAACACATGCAAAATCATCACTGTTATTTTCAAAGAAAAGTTTTAGTTATGAAGCCATAATTCTCCCAGGACAAAAAGAGCAAAATTAAGCTGAATTTAAAAAACTGGCAACAGCATGGTCAACCGAGCTTCAGCTTGTAGCACTGGCATCTCATACACATGTTGGTTCAAGTCCCAGCTGCTCTATTTCTCATCCAGCTCACTGAATATTACAGCCTGGGAAAGCTATGAAGGATTGTCCAAGTTCTTGGGACCCTGTATCCGTGTGGGAGACCTGGAAGAAACTTCTGGCTCCTGGCTTCAGATTGGCTCAGCTCCAGAAGTAGCAGCCGCTTGAGGAGTGAATCAGCAGATGGAAGATTTTCCTCTCTGTCTCTCCTCCTCTCTATATATGACATTACAATAAAAATAAATCTTTAAAATAAATTAATTTTTTAAAAATACAACACAGCATTTCCATAATTTTTCAAAAGTTGTTACACAATAGTTAGTTTCAGCAGATAGAAATTATACTGATTTAGGGCCCGGCGCGGTGGCGCAGTGGTTAAGGTCCTCGCCTTGCACGCCCGGGATCCCATACGGGCGCCGGTTCTAGTCCCAGCAGCCCCGCTTCCCTTCCAGCTCCCTGCCTGTGGCCTGGGAAAGCAGTCGAGGACAGCCCAAAGCTTTGGGACCCTGCACCTGCGTGGGAGACCTGGAAGAGGCTCCTGGCTTCGGATTGGCATAGTATCGGCCCGTTGCGCTCACTTGGGGAGTGAATCATTGGACGGAAGATCTTCCTCTCTGTCTCTCCTCTCTGTATATCCGCCTTTCCAATAAAAAAATAATAAAAATTTTTTTAAAAAAAGAAATTATACTGATTTAGGGCCCAGTGCAGAGTGGCTAAATCCTTGTTTTGCAACTGCCGGGATCCCATAAGGGTGCTAGTCGATGTCCCAGCTGCTCCACTTCCCATCCAGCTCCCTGCTTGTGGCCTGGGAAAGGAGTGGAGAATTGCCCAAAGCCTTGGGACCCTGCACCTGTGTGGGAGACCCAGAAGAAGCTCCTGGTTTTTATTGGCTCAGCTCGGACCATTGTGGCTACTTGGAGAGGGAACCAGTAGATGGAAGATTTTCCTCTGTAAATCTGCCTTTCCAATAAAAAATAAATCTTTTTTTTTCTTTAAAAAAAAAGTATGCCAATTTAGAAAAGTGGCTAAGTTTCAAAAACAAATCAGCTCAAAGGGATACCAATTTAGAGAGAATTAGAAAATTAATATAAAAACCAGAAAAAGAGTACCAATGAACAGGCAAAGCCGACCTCAAAACCTCTTTCCTTTCCTTCTCCGTCCAGAATACTCAGAAGGTATTCTAACAGCTTTGCCTTCTTCCTAATGGTCTGGACAGTGAACAATGGCAGGGAAGAATACACCTACAGAGAAAGCCACGGCCCGAGTTCCCCACCACCACTCCCTTTCCTTAACTGCTCCATAACCACAATGCCCAGAACAGGAAGGAACAGGAAGGGCAAGACATTCTCAGAATTGGGTTTTTTTTCCTCCCAGATTTCACCACTTCCTATTAGCAACAGTTGCACACATTTACAGGCTACCATGCAATATTTCACCAGTTACACAATGTATACAGATCACAGCAGGTAATTAGCATCTCCCTTCTTTGACATCATCTATAGGATTCTGTAATCAGGACTCAAGGATGTACTCTTACAATCTGAGTTAGAAATCAATTCAGTTTTCCTAAAGTAAATCTAAAACTGAGACCTTGTGTCACTACATTAGCTCTGGCATGGAATCTGGGAAATTAAACATTGAGTTACACAACTTTATCCCTACAGAAAAAAAAATTGTTCCAAAAATTACAAACAAAAGATTATTTACAAAATAATCTTGTTTTTTTAAAGATTTATTTTTATTGCAAAGTCAGATACACAGAAAGGAGGAGAGACAGAGAGGAAGATCTGTTCAATGATACATTCCCCAAGTGGCCAGAACAGCCAAACCTGAGCCGAACCAAAGTCAGGAGCCAGGAACCTCCTCCAGGTCTCCCATGCAGGCACAGGATCCCAAGGCTTTGGGCCATCCTCGACTGCCTTCCCAGGCCACAAGCAGGGAGCTGAATGAGAACCAGGGCTGCCAGGATTAGAACCGGCACCCATATGGGATCCCAGCTCATGCAAGGTGAGGACTTTAGCCACTAAGTCACCACACCAGGCCCTACAAAACAATCTTTTAAAAAATTATTATCAGCCATTACTCACCAGAGAAAAATATTAATTACAGATTATATGATTATTTTTAATGCAGTAGGGTAATATATATACTAAAGAAAGCATATAATGATTCAGAAAAAATATTTAGAAATGTTCAAATATCAACCATAAGCCTGTTTTCAAAAACAAACATTACTTTAAAATTAAAACTGCCGATATAAGATCAAGACGCTTAAAATAGAGTAAAAAATTATTTGCATATCTCTTTGAACCCGGATCTGTTCGTTCTTGCTCCTTCCGCTATCACACCATTTATGAGTAAGAGTCATCTCATCCCTAAAACAGAAACTTGGAATCATCCCTTGCCACTTGCCTTTTAGAAAGTTTAAAGACTCAACAAAAATAAGAGAATTACTCTGTGAAACTAATTGCACTTTCCCTCCTAAAAACCATCAGTAATGACTTTTGGAAAGCATCCCATTTTTCCCGGATGCTCTTCAGGGAATACAAAAGAGAGGACAGCAGCTGACTGCAAGAACAGTGGTCAGATCCTGGAAGAGGAGGGGTTACGTGAGGAGCTCCAAGTTAAAAACCTGGGTCAGCCACAAAGCTTCGGGGACTCCGAACATGTCCTCTGCCACCACAGGTTGCAAACATTCCCCAACTCCTTCATGAAACCTGTCTCCCACCGAATCTGCAGCTCACCTCGCACGTGGCACTCTAGAATGAAAACTACCGACAGAACTGCACTGGTAACCTTGCCATGTCTTGAAGCGAAAAACAAATGATATTCTCCAACTGCAGGGGTTGTACATCTTGAGCAGATTTCGACACAAAGCCTCTTACAAGAGGGACAACTGAGGCAAGGAGAGAGGAAGTGACTCGCCAAGGACAAAGTGTGAGTGGCAAGCAGGGTCAAGCGTTCACACCGGGCTCCTAGGGTTCCTCGCCCACAGGAACCCAGGTTGTGCCGCAGGGCCTGCACTGCCCAATGCCAGGTGCGCACCGACCCCAGAGAGCCGTCGGCGGCTCCGGTCCTCCTCGCCGGGACTCTTCTCGGGTAAAACCGGGGCAGGTGAGGACTTGGCGCTGAGAGAGCCTGCGAAGAAGCAAACCCGGGCTCCCTGTGGGGCAGCTGCAGGCGCACACAGCCTTTAACCCCAATGTGCGCTCCAGCTGCCTCCACCCACCACGTACACAGCGACACACTGACCTCTCTGCGCTGGGGTGCCGCGGGGGCTGCCCTCTAGGGACGGCTCTCCCAGCACACCCCCGAGACGAATCTGGTCGCCCAATATTTAATAAAGGAGGCGGGGTGCTGAAACAAAGCGACCCCAAGCGGTCCCCCCTCCCAGCCCCGCCACCGAGGCGGGCGAATGTGGACTACGATTCCCGGCATGCCACGCGCCGACGGCCCCTCGACCACTACCACGAGGCAGCGCGATGGCCGCCGGGGCTCGTAGTCCCCCGTTCCGCAGTCCTGAGGGGCGCGGCGGGACAGGCCAAGCCAGCCCGTCAGCCCCGCGGGCCTCACCTCGACGATACGGGCGCACTGGGTTCCCTTGCCAGCGCCGGGACCGCCGAGGACGAACACGACCAGCGGCTTCATGAGGCGGGGAAGGGAGAGCAGAGGCCGGCGGGTCCGCAGCAGAAAGCCTAGGCCCAGGAAGTGCAGCAGCTGGCGGCGGCAGCTACTCAGCATACACGGCTGCTCCGCTCGAGGAGCTGACAGCGGCCGGCGCGGTGGCGGCGAGGGGCGGGGCGGGGCGGGGAGGCGGCGGGAGAAGGGGGCGGGCCGAGCCGGCGCCCGCCGCGGCCCTGCCGCCGTCGCCGCCGGGTATCCGCGCCCAGGCCGGAAGGGGAGGGGCCTGCCGCCGCGCGCTCCGCGCCCGCGCCTGCGCAGGCCTCCCGCGAGGCCACGCCCCTCATCTACGTCTGGGAAGGCGTCCTGCTCAGCGTTTGGGCGGCAGGAACCAAGCCTTCCGGACTCGGTCTGTGCTGGACGCCCCGGGACGGGCTACGCGGGGAGAGCAAAGTCCATTGTCCCTGCTCCCAAGCTGTTCAAATTCATGTGTGTACTAAATAAGTACACACGCAAATAATACACGTCAGCCATGCAGTGTGAAGGAAGTAAACGCTGGGCTAACGAAAAGGCATTCGGTTATGGCAGAGAACTCAAGACACAACATTTAAGCGGAGACCACAATAAAAAAGAACAAACCCAAGTAGACTAGGCTAGGGCGTCCCAAAAACAAAACAGCACATCCAGAAACCCTGCCACGGTGTGGTATCCTAGAGCAAAGGAGGGAGGACCCGCCACACAGGCGCGTGAAGCCGGGGAGCTGAGCCCGGTGAAGAGGTGGGAGGGTTGTGCTCCTGGGTAGATGATGGCTCAGGCCCTCAGGAGAGAGATTTAATTCTAACGCAGTGCGAAGCCTTTTAAAATAACCTTGTTTTCCTGTCCATTAGGAAAGAATCTGAGGGAGGAGGAAAAAAGATTCTAAAAGCTGAAACTCCATGAACCTTTCAGTTAGAGATGTAGACCGTCCAACTGGAAAAGCCATGAAGTAGTGGACTAAGCATCCCATATGGGTGCCGGTTTGTGTCTCAGTTGCTCTACCTCCCATCCTGTCCCCTGCTTATGGCCTGGGAAAACAGTGAAGGGTGGTGCAAGTCCTTATGCCACTGCACCAGCGTGGAAGACCTTGCTCCTAGCTTTAGATCGGCTCATTTCTGGCTGTGGCATCCATTTGAGGAGTGAACCAGCAGGCAGAAGATGTGTGTGTGTGTGTGTGTGTGTGTCCATACTCTGTAACTCTGCCTTTCAATTAAGAATAAAAATAGAGCCCAGTGTGATAGCCTAGTAGTCAAAGTCCTCACTTTCATTCGCCTGGATCACATAGGCATGCTTGTTCATGTCCCAGCTGCTCTGCTTCCTTTCCAGCTCCCTTCCTGTGGCCTAGGAAAGCAGTGGAGAACAACCCTAACCCTTGGGACCTTGCACCTGCATGGGAGACCTGGAAGAGGCTCGTGTCTTGTGGCTCCTGGCTCCGGATGAGCTCTGTCCATTGGGGAGTGAACCAACCAGCAGATGGAAGATCTTTCTCTCTCTCTCTCTCTCTGTAAATCTGACTTCCCAATTTTAAAAAATAATTTTTAAATAATAAAAATAATTCTTACAATCATGGTTTAAAAGAGGGGTAGGAAACACATTTCTCAGGATGGAAAACATTTTTCTAATGGTAATCGGTAAAACTTCTAGGATATCTGAAGAATTCATTTGCTTTTGAGATCTTGGATTTAAAATAATGAAAGGGGATGGTATTTTGGTATAGCACGTTAAGCCACCACATGTGATGCCTGCATCCCCTACTGAAATGCCAGTTCAAGCCCCGGCACGGTCCCTTCTGATTAGCTACCTGTTAATGCTTCCTTGGAGGCAGCAGATTGGGGGGTCAAGTTTTTGGGTTTTCTGCCACTCACTCATAACCACAGGAACTCTAGAAGACCTTCCTTCCCCTAGACCCATCTCTAGAACCCAGTGGCCACACACATTGGAAAAGTCAAAACGGGAAACAAGCCAAGTAATTCAGGATCTCAAAATCAATTGTTGTTGTTGTTTTTTTAAGAATCCTTTTATTTGAAAGGTAGAGTTACAGGAAGAGAGGGAGAAAGTGAGATCTTTGGTCTACTAGGTGACTGCCCAAATGGCCACAAATGGCTAAGCCAGGCTTGGCCCATCTTATGCTGCTTTTCTCAGTCACATTGCCAAGATGTTAGATCAGAGGTTCAGCAGCTGGGATTCAAGCAAGCACCCATTTGGCATGCTGGTGTTCTAGGCAGTGATTTAACACGCTGCACAACATTGTTGAGGTTTTTACCTTTCTTTTTACACCAAATCGCCATGTGGCACCAATTCATGTAAAACAGAACTGGTAAAAGACATGATGCTTAGAGGTCAACACCATGGTACTGCGTGTGTCTGTGGCATTGGCATCGTGTTGACACTGATTCTGATCCTGGCTGTTACACTTCCAATTTAGCTCCTCGCTGATGCCCTGGGAAGGGAACAGAAGATGACCTAAGTGTTAAGGCCCCTGCATCCATGTGGGAGACCAGGATGAAGCTCCTGGGTCTTGGCTTCGCCCTGGCCCTTCCCTGGCTGTTGTAGCCATCTGGAGACTGAACTAGCAGATGCAAGATCTCCCCCACTCTCTTTTTCTGCATTTCACATGAATAAATATAAGTAAATTGTGTGATTTGTTTCCTTAAGGGATGCTTAGCCCATTGCATAGTGTGGTAGTAAATGGACTTTCTAATTTTATTTTTTTAAAAGATTTATTTTTTTTTTATTACAAAGTCAGATATACAGAGAGGAGGAGAGACAGAGAGGAAGATGTTCCGTCTGATGATTCACTCCCCAAGTGAGCACAACGGCCGGTGCTATGCCGATCCAAAGCCAGGAACCAGGAACGTCCTCCGGGTTTCCCACGTGGGTAAAGGGTCCCAAAGCTTTGGGCCGTCCTCGACTGCCCTCCGAGGCCACAAGCAGGGAGCTGGATGGAAAGTCGATCTGCCAGGATTAGAACCAGTGCCCATATGGAATCCTGGCGTGTTCAAGGCGAGGAGTTTAGCTGCTAGGTCATGCCGCTGGGCCCATGGACTTTCTAATTTTAAAGTCTACAGGCATTTGGTACAGCAGTAGTAAGTTGCTGCTTGGGACACCTGCATCTTATAGTAGAGAACCTGGATTTGAATTCCAGCTCTGCTTTCCATTCCAGTTTCCTGCCTAAGTGCACCTTGAAAATCAGCTCAAGTTTGCTGTTATACATGTGGAAGACCCCTGATAGAGCCACTGACCTAAAAAATGAAATAGCACATGGGAGTGTGTGGGTAATCTCTGTGTCTGTCATGCTATCTCTCTCAAGTTGAAAAATAAATAAATTAAGATCTATGTATCAGTGCTATTGTGTGTCTCAATAGGCTAATCCTCCACCTGCTAGTGCCAGCATCCCATATGAGCATTGATTCTACCCTGACTGCTCCACTTCTGATCCTGCTCCCTGCTTGTGGGCTGGGAAAGCAGCAGAGGATGGCTTAGGTACTTGGGCCTCTTATCCACATGACAGACCAGGAAGAACACTGTTGAGGTTTTGACCTTTCTTTTTACACCAAATCGCCATGTGGCACCAATCTATGTAAAATAGAACTGGCAGTTAAAATTCCCTATTTGTGAAATCAGGATGATGGCACATCAGTTTACACTTCCTGCGTAAGTGATGCAATTGTTTCTTTTGTTTCTTTTTTTACTGAAGATTTGATCCCATTGTTGGGAGGAAGTACTCAGACACATAGTTTTAGATTTACTACTGTGTGCAATTACAGCCTTCATTCCAATTAATCCAAGTGTTGTTTTTTTTTTTAAAGATTTGTTCATTTTTTATTGGAAAATCAGATCTACAGACAGAAAGAGAGAAAGAAAGATCTTCTGTCTGCTGATTCATGCCCTAAGTGACCACAGCAGCTGGAGCTGAGCCAATATGAAGTCAGGACCCTGGAGCTTCCTCCAGGTCTCCCACATGGGTGCAGGCACTCAAGGCCTTGGACCATCTACAGTTGCTTTCCCAGGCCACAAGCAGGGAGCTGGATGGAGAGTGGGAGCAACTGAACACAGACAAACATCCATATAGGATCCCGGTGCATGCAAAGGGAGGACATTAGCTGCTAGGCTGCCATGCCAGGCCCCCAGGTTTTTAAAAAATAAAATAAGTAGGGCCTGGAGCGGTGGCCTAGCAGCTAAAATCCTCATTTTAAATGTACTAGGATCCCATATGGGCACCAGTTCTAATTCTGGCAGCCCAACTTCCTATCCAGCTCCCTGCATGTGGTCTGGGAAAGCAATCGAGGACAACCCAATGCCTTGGGACCCTGCACCCTCATGGGAGACCCAGATGAAGCTCCTGGCTCCTGGCTCTAGATTGGTGCAGCTCTGGCCATTGCGGTCACTTGAGAAGTGAATCATCAGATAGAAGACCTTCCTCTCTGTCTCTCCTCCTCTCTGCATATTTGACTGTGCAAAAAGAGAGAGAGAGAATAAATAGATTTAAAAATATTAATAATAAAATAAATAAACCTAACTTAAAATAAGCTGTTATAATTTTCTGTCCCAAGAGCTTTAGGTGTCCAAAAATAATTTGTATAAATTGACAGATCTGATCCTCTGAAACATTTCTTATGATTAAAGCTGTTGTGGTAGTGTGAGTTAAGCTGGGACACTCACATCTTCTAATGGAGTGCTTGTTCCATTCTGGGCTGCTCTGCTTCTCATGCAGCTTTCTCCTAAGATATTCTGGAATTCCACTGCAAGAGGCCCCAATAAATCATTTTTAAAAGAGCAAATCTTGGGCCCAGCATGATAGTCTAATAATTGACGTCCTCACCTTGCATATGCCAGGATTTTGTATGGGTGCAAATTCACATCCTGGCTGCTCTACTTCCCTCCAAGCTCCTTGCTTGTGGCCTGGGAAAGCAGTCGAGGACAGTCCAAGGCCTTGGTAGCGCGCAACTGTGTAGGAGACCCGGAAGAGCTCCTGGATCCTGGCTTCAGATCAGCTCAGTTCTGGCCATTGTGGCCATTTGGGGAATGAACCAGTGGATGGAAGATGTTTCTCTCTATTTTTCCTTCCCTCTGTAAATCTAACCTTGCAACAACAAAAAAATAAATAAATAAATCCTTTTCAAAAAGTGCAGATCTTCACACCTATGGAATCAAATCTGTAGTGAAAACAAAATGAATCAAACACACACACACAAAAAAAACCACATTAGTATAACTTAGTTCAGAAATGTAAATTGAGAAATGACAAGTTGGATGTTTGAAGAAACTTATTACAATAAGTAACAGAACCAGGAAAAGGAGAAACAGCCGATTCCAACTTCCTTGTTCCTGGTGGTGACAATGGCTCTTTCATGGCCACAACCCATCTGTTAACAGGCACCATCAGGGTTTGTAACATTGAACATTTACTTAGTCTGATCATAAAGAATGTATCATGTGGACAGGGATTGAGAGAGAATAAGGAAAAATAATGATGTGTGTGTTTACTTGTACATATGGGTCACTAAAACAGAATACCATAGATTGGGAGGCTTATAAGCAAAAGAAATGTGCTTTTCACTGTTATAGAGGCCGGGGGATTTAATGCCTCACGAGGGACAATTTCTTGGTTGATAGCGTCCTTCTCCATGTGACTTTGCATGGGAAAAAGCAACAAGGGAGTTCTTGGGATGGGACATAGTTTTGAAAGGTAGATTTACAGAGGGAAGGAGAGACACACAGAGAGATCTTTCATCCAATGGTTCACTCCCCAAATAGTCAAAATGTTCAGAGATGAACCCATCTGAAGCCAGGAGCCAGGAGCTTTTTTCCTGGTCCTCCACATGAGTGCAGAGATCCAAGGACTTGGGTAATCCTCCAGTGCTGTCCCAGGCCATAAGCAGAGAAGTGGCTCAAGAAGTGGGACAGCCAGGACCTGAACTGGTGCTCATATGGGATGGTGGCACTGCGGGTGGAGGATGAGCCTGTTATGTCACCATGCCAGTCTCAGGTGGTGTTCTGTTAAAAAATAATTTTGGGAGGATGGTGTATTGGCATAGGAGGTAAAACCATTTTCTGCAGTGCCTGTTCATGTCCACTCAAAAGTGGTAGATGATGGCCCAAGTGCTTCATCCTCTGCCACCCATGTGGGAGACCAAGAAGGAGCCCCTGACGCCTTGCTTCATCAAGGGCTCTCTCTACTGAGGCCATCTCTCCCTTTCTCTCTCTCTGACTTTCAAATGATATTTAAAAATAAAAGTAAATTTTAAATATTTCTATTTCTTTGCAAGGAAGATGGGCAGAGGTAGGCAGAGGATGAGTTTTTAATTTACCTCCCCAATGGCCTAGGGCCTGGGTCAGTCCAAAGTCAGGAGTCCTGAACCCAATCAGGATTTTCTACGTGGGTAGTACTGACTCAAGTATTTCAGTCATCACTTTTGCTCCCTAGGATGCACCTAAGAAGCTACAATTACAAGAGGATCAAGGACTCTATCTCACGTGTTCAGATAAGGAATGCAGGCATCCCAAAACCATGCTAGCTATGTAATAAACCCCACCCTGAAGGGTTTCTTTCTTTCTTTTTTAAAGATTGCTTTTTATTTGAAAGGCAGAATTATAGCGAATGAGGGAAAGACAGGAGCAAGATTTTCCATCTTCTGGTTTCTTGCCAGACGGCCACCACTGTCAGAGCTGTACGGGTCCAAGCTGGGAGCCAAGGGATTTTTCTGGGACTCCTGTGTGTGCAGGGATCCAAGGACTTGGGCCACCTTTTGCTACTTTCCCAGGCACATTAGCAAGGAACTGGTTTGGAAATGGAGCAGCCAAGACTCCAAACTGGCACTTCTGGGGATGCCAGTGCCCCAGGCAGCCATGGCTGGCTGGTACCCACCCCAGGACGCTGATACCTTCCTAAGAGCCCAGCACTAATGACCCAAGTTCTCAAGGCAAGGTGTTTACTCTTGCCAAAGGATGTTGATAAGAAAACAAACCAAAGAACAAATCTTTAGTCTGAGCAGATAGACTAGAAATGCAGTTCAGGCTCTGAGATCTATCCAAGTTGCTCAGAAAACTAGTTCTTCAAGCGTCAAATCTGCAGCAAACTGACATCTCAATTCTTGACTCTGCACAAACAGCTCTGGAAACAGTAATAAAACCTATTTATTTTGGCTGTTAGAGTAAAGTAAGACACAATACAGCACTAACAGTGGAAATACGTGTAAGTTATGATACAAATATTAATACCATCAATTAGTTTACAAAATCTATAGTATTGGGATACCACAGATTATATTACACGTATTATGGAGAATATAAATGATTTACAAATCCGTCATGTTCTTTTCGCTCAACGGGAAGAGAACGTGCCAAAAAATTGTTTTTGCGAGGAGAAACTGCTTTTTAGGAAACAAATTGTAAGAACTCTTCTACTTTGCCGTCCGTTCTACTAAACGATTTGGAACTGTTCCTAAGGCGACCGCTTCTGTTTGCCTAGCGACCGCTGCTGCAGAGGGGACTTCCTGCTCCCTCGGTTCTTCAGCTGGTCTTCTTTATTGCGCGTGCGCTAGACTCGCCCCACCCCGGAACTTAACCGTTGACTCAATGAAGGGTTTAAATTCTCGGAATCCAAGCTGGAGCGCTGGTGGCGCCCTCAAGTTCTCCGAGGAGGCTTGGGATTGGTCGAGAGAGGAATCAGTGCAGAGTCCTGATTGGCTGTTGTGCCAGCAGGTTGCGGCGACTTCGCGTGACGTATGTTGCTCCGCCCTCGCGCCCTGACTGGCTGAGCTTCTGACCAATCAGCAGGCGCGGCGCGCCCTTCGGTTTCGCGAGCTGGTGTTTGCCGCCTCGGTTCCCGCGACCCCAACGTCCCAGAGGCGGGTCTGAAGCTGTCTAGGCGCTTGCTGGAGCTTTCCTCTTTGTCGGCAACGGCCTGAGCCCAGCGGCGCGGAGCCTGCCCTGCGTGGGGCTTGGCCTTCCCTGCTAGCCGCCAGGGCCGGAAGCTGCCGGGGAAGGAGGGTGGGTAGCAGGGCCTTGTGTCGGGTTGGGTCCTCAAGGACGCCTGGGCCGATGACGAGCAGGGCTGTGACGAGGAGTAAAGCGGAGCACCGATTCCTTGGGCGTCGTCCACTCTGCGGTGTGTGGTGCAGTCGGTAACGTGCCATGTAAAGCCGTGGACCCAACCCCTGGCTCGGACCCGGTGAGGGGTGAGTTAAAGCCTGAAGTTCGTGCTCAGCTCTGTACAGAAATATCTTCTAACATCACCGCGGGGTGACTGGTCTGCGACCAGGGTGGTGTGGGTGGGGAAAGAGGAGGCGAGACCGACCCGATGCGTCGTGTCGGTGCCTTTTTCTCTGAGGTTTTAATGGTAGAGCTGTTGTGGTTTTAGTTTCAGTAGCTTTAATTGTGCAAGACTGTCAGGATACGTTACTGTATTGTTTTAGAAAGAGAAATGAATCTTGTCATCCTGATGCCTAAACTGGTCCTGAAGTCCACTTAAGTCTAAGTCGGCGTTACAATGGAATTTTGTTCTCACAAATGTTTTTAATCCCTGAAAAGTCCTTTTCCTCCCTTCAGACAGATCCTTATTGTTAGAACTGAAGCGAAATGTGCAGGGCCTAGAGAACACTTAGAACTTAAAAGAATATAGTAAATAATACCTCAATAGGAAAGGCTACATCTACCTGTGTTTCTCCTTGATAATGTCTAGGTAGAGCTATTCAATAGGCAATTAGAAATATGAGTTTTAAACCAAGAGGTAGAAGATGAAGGCTTCCTTTATGGCGGGGTGTGCCTTCAAAAAGTTCATTGAAGATTAATATTACGCAAATTGTGCATGAAAAAAGCTTGCATTTTAATTTCATTTTCTTTTTTTTTCCCCCAAAGATTGATTTCTTTGGAAAGCTGAATGATAGAAATATCTTCAGTCCACTACCTCAAATAACTGCAGAAACTAGAGCTGGGCCAGGCTGGAGCCAGGGATTCCATCAGAGCAGGAACTCAAGTACTTGAGCCATCCTCTGCTGCTTCCAGGGGTGCAGTGAGCGGGATAAGAAACAGAGTAGTTGAGACTTGAACCAGCTCTGCTCTGTGGGGTTGGCTTAGGCTGCTGCCCCACAATACCTGCCCCTTGCCATACATGTTTTGAGCTATAGGTGGCTGTGGATAATACCGAGAGAAGACATGTTGACCAGACAAAACAAAACAGGGCCTGGCGCAGTGGCCTAGTGGCTAAAGTCCTTAACCTTGATGCGCCAGGATCCCATTTGTGCACCGGTTCTAATCCCCGTGGCCCAGCTTCCCATCCAGCTCCGTGCTTGTGGCCTGGGAGAGCAGTCGAGAATGGGCTAAAGCCTTGGGACCCTGCACCCACTTGGGAGACCCAGATGAAGCTCCAGGCTCCTGGCTTCAGATCGGCACAGAACCAGCCATTGTAGTCACTTGGGGAGTGAATCATCAGATGGAAGATCTTCCTCTCTGTCTCTCCTCTTCTCTGTATATCTGACTTTGCAATTAAAAAAAAAATTAAATCTTAAAAAAAAAAACCCAACACGGAGCAAGAAGGCTAAAGCAGCCCCTGGGACACCCACATCCCATATTGGAGGGCTGGAATTGAGTCCCATCTCCTCTTCTGACCCAGATTCCTGTTACGATTCCTGGGAGGTAGCAGCTGAAGGCACACAGGCCTGGGTTCCTGCCACCTTCCGGGGGAGACCTGAATGGAATTGCTGGCCCTTGATTCGCCTGGCCCAGGCCTGGCTGTTGTACTCATTTAGGGAATGAGCCAGTGGATTGATGAATTTCCTCTCTCTGTCATTCTACCTTCAAATAAATATCCGATTATTTTGTAGTTTTAAAATTTAAAATTTTAGTTTTTTTTTTTTAACATTCAATGTGGTTCGTACATACAGTCCCAAGAACATGATGTTGTCTTCCACTCTCCTTTCAGGGAAATGTTTTTTAAGGAAATGATACAGATTTTTTCACTGATGCAAGTTAGTTTGCAAGGATGCAGTGTTTCCCTTCCATTGTCATAAGCACTGGAGATTCCTTGATGACTTTGTTGTAGGCCCAACAGATGCCAAACCGAATTGTAGCCACATGCTGTGCTGTGCTTTCTGAGGGTTGAGGCTTTTGATCAAAATCCCATATATTGAATACTGTTTTATCCAGTTCATAAGTAGGTGTGCTTTTCCTTAAAGAGTAGATATAATGGTGGTAGTTTTTGCTGCCTTATTTCTAGGAAATCTGATTTTTCATTTGTCATTGCTCTACTTATTAATACATATATCACAAATGTTCACAATATTAGTGCATTCTTGTTGGCTTGCTAGACAGAGGCTTTTTTTTTAAAAGAACTCAAAAATGTTTAATGTTTAAAAACGGGGACTTTGTTCCCCGTTCACACTCATTTTTGTTAAATGATCAGATGAGGTTCTCGATGTCTTTAATGTCAATGCAAGAAGAAAAAAGTACAGAAAGAAGTAGTAAAATAACATAATCACAGTTAATTGGGGGAAACAGAAGTGATGTTATAACCTTCACAGGAAGCAACAATACAGCTCTATAACAGGATTATAGAGGTTTCAACTGAGAGGCAGGGGTGTGCTGAACTATCTCTACGTGGCCAGATATGGAACAGTGAGAAAGGAGCCCCTGATGCTCAGATGCTCACAAACTTCCTTCATGTGTGACACATGCTTTCTCCTCCTCATGAGCAATTACCAAGGAGTCTCCTTATAATGTGGAAGGCAGCCTGAAGAAGGTAGGAAACAGCCTTAGGAATGGGAAAACCAAACCAAACAACACTTAGCTAAAAGAACAGGTAACTATTGTCTGCTTATCTATGTAAGTAGAAGTGTGTGGCTTTGATAGACCGTGGTGAGGGATCTAGAGGAGCCTCCCACACTACATGCAAGGCCCATAAGGGCCAGTGATGATGTGATAACCAGTTACCTAGGATGAGCTGCAGGTGGACCAAGTACAAATGGAAGAGCTGGTACTCACAGGACCTCAGGGGAGATTATGTAGGACTAGCTGCAGGGAGACTTGGCTATACTCTGGCACAACAGGGCTTCACAAGATGGACACTACAGGATGAGTGCTATAGGGTGAAGCAGAAACTGGGTGGGAGTGTCAGCTGCACATAAGGATGGGGATGGGGCAGCAGAGCAGGTGGATTGTGTATTGTGCTTTAACATTCTTTGGAAGTCTTCCAAAGATTGCTGCAGTTTCATTTTAACATAGGCCCCTTAGCCCATCGTTCCTGAAAGACTTCTCCTTAAAGCATCTCATTGATTGGCCGTGAAGAACCAGGGCAGACATCAGGCCAGCAGCATGCCAATCAACTGAGAGTGCGATTCCAAAACCACTCCAGCAATGATCCCTATGTTTGTCTCCATGAAACTGGTCACTGGATCGTAACAACTCTTCTGGTTAAGTTTGGTGGCAACCGTAATCAGATTGTGCAGATCCTGGGCATTGCAGCCAATTTCATTTGTGCAGCCACGTGGGGGGATGCCGTGCTCCAGGAAGTAGGGGCTGGCACTCCGGTTGGTGTAGTTCTGCACACCAGCAGCTCAGGCTGTGCTGCACATAGTGCACTTGCCCAGCTCCTCTCATCATTGCCATTGCCATTCTGCATGGCATCCGTGTTAGTCCTGAGGAAGGTGTCCTTGATCTCATGATGAAACACAAAGCCCGAAATGCCAGCGACAAGCTCAGCCAGGAACACCAAAGACAGGAACGTGGCATACAGCTTCAGCATCCATGGGCTACCATGGCATGTGGCAAAGCATTCAAGCAAGCCAAAAATGACGATGGTGGTGCCAGTCCCAATCAGCAGATACGGAGCATTTGTGGCATTCTCAGCAGCCAGGGAGCTGTAGGTGCCATGTGTGAGCTTGCCTCAGGCTCTGGCAGCCAGCAGGATCACCTCCGTGATCCAGAAGACGAAGGAGCAGATGATGGGGAAGGTTCTGAGACAGGTTATCACAGGTTTGCTCTCTATTCTCCTCGATGCCGTACTACAGAACTCTGGCAGTGGCAGGTGGCCAGAAGTCTGGTTCTTAAACATGAAAATGATAAGAATATTCAGACACTCATTTATTTAAATGAAAACCAATGTATTTAAGAGAGAAACACCCCTACCCTCTGGCTTGCTCCCCAGAAGTGTTTGTCATGGGCTGGGTGGTGACGGGATCCCAACCATGGCTGTTTCCCAGGATCTACATGAGCAAGAAGCTGGAGTAGGGAGCCTGGGATCCAGGCATTCTGATACGGGATGTTTTCTATGAGTGCCTTTTTTTTTTTTTTTTTAATGTTTAATCATTATTATTGAAGTGTTACTTTAAAAAAATTGTCTTGGGGATACCAATCGTTTTCAAATCCAAAACTTTTAAATCTTTAGTAAGTCTTCCAATTGTCATCTCAAAGAATTGAAGTGAATATGTTAAGGACTGGAGTTTATCTGAACTGTGTATGCATTTGGAGGCAGGTGTGCTCAGCCGAGCATGTCTTCTCAGCTGCTGAAGGAGCATCTGGAAGGGCAAGGAAGTAAGTGTGTTAAGCTCTCACAATGCCGGGAGGTCTCTTTGGCACTTCAAGGGAAAACATATAATTCCACATCACAAATGATCATCCTACCCAAAGTGCTGTCTACAGTTTTTGTCAGAATATTTCTAAATGATCAAGATGAACATTTTAATTGGGCTTGTAACTGTTAGGTCAAACACTCACCTCTGTTCTAGTGTTTAATCCTGATTAATGCTTAGTAATATGTATTTCGCTTAAGTAACCTAATTTTGCTTGTAATTTTGTTAATAGGTGGTTAAACCATGTTCTTTTTCTTTTTCATTAGTAATACATTTTTCTTTTTCATTCTTTAGGCTGCTGAAGATTTGAAATTGAGTAAATCATTGGTCAAATATTAAGGAGTCTATATTCTCTTGTAAGGCCCCAGATGAATACCAGGTATAGAAATTTCTCATAACATGTTTTATTTCTTTCTTTATTTCTTGTAACAGCTGCTTATATACATTGGAAAGAGGTTGCAAGAGAAAAAAGAGCATTATCTAGAATCAGGAAAATCTAATTTTCTGTCCAAACCCTACCACTTTCTATGTGGGTGACCTTGATCAAGTGAGTTAGCTAAGCCTATTCCTCATCTGAAAAGTGGGGATGGTAATACTTAGCAGAGGATTACTGGGAAAGATGAATTAAGATTACTGATGTGTTTGCTACATAGCAGGTGCTTAGCAAATAATAGTTTTGTTCCCACCTTCACTTAGTTGTAGTTGGAAGACAGTTTTATTGATCAGGAATAAAACCCAAATTCTTAAGAATAAAAATTGCAAAGATTTTTATTTACATCCTAAATAAGTATGAAAGTAGTTGGCTTTCTTCCCTCTTCTAGACATTATTTACTTGGTGAGATTTTCATATTGAGTGTACCAAGTTCTCTTAAATGTGTGCAAATGTCTACTCGTGTAGAGTGGAAAGGAGGACTTTGCCACCTGTCCCCTTATTTTTTCAGTCTGTCATTATGTAGGATCAGACAGATGGCTTTGTTATTGGGCCGTTTAAATTATATATTGCTCTCCCCCCCCCCCCCGAAGGGAGAACAATTCATGCTGACAAACTACAGTTGGTTCCGTGTGGTACCTTTATTCTCTGTATTGTCTTTCCTGCTGCCAGATGATCTTAAAGACGACAATGGGCACGATGAGCCAAGGTGGCTATCATGTTCTGCTTTAATTTTAGCCTTTCTATTCTACCCTATTACTACTTCTGGTTTTACAGAGGTACAGCTGTATAACGAGTTAACTATATTATTTTATTATCAGATTGGTGGTGGGCTCAAATTAATTCCTTACATTTAAGTAATGCATATGTTTGTGATTTAAACTGATTATTCCTGGCATATTTGTCTAGTTTCTTGTACTCCTTTAACGGTCTCTGGTTTTCGGTAACCTCTGGGATTTAAGGCAGCAGTTTGATTAGTGCGGGTGTGGCAGCAGGGAAAGGTGGGTGTTACAAACCAACAGGATTATTTGAGAAGAGCCATGTGTCTCATTCCCTAAGGAAAACAGTTACATGCGCACATGACAGTTTTGCAGCCAGTTTCAGGATGCAAGTTGCAGTTTGTTACTCCCTGCTTTGCAGGATCTGCTTGTATACTGTAGATTAACTGGAAGATTAATAGCAAACAGCTTTTACTGAAGTCATGATGTGTGACAGGTGCTGTGTTTAACACTTTACATGCGTTATTTTTATTTATACAAAAATCCCATGAGATAGGTACTGTCATTACTCATAATTTTTTTTAAGATTTATCTATTTTTTATTACAAAGTCATATGTACAGAGAGGAGGAGAGACAGAGAGGAAGATGTTCCATCCGATGATTCACTCCCCAAATGAGCACAACGGCCGGTGCTGTGCCGATCCAAAGCCAGGAACCAGGAACTTCTTCCGGGTCTCCCTCATGGGTGCAGGGTCCCAAAGCTTTGGGCCATCCTTGACTGCTTTCCCAGGCCACAAGCAGGGAGCTGGATGGGAAGTGGAACTGCTGGGATTAGAACTGGTGCCCATAAGGCGAGGATTTTAGCTGCTAGGCCACGCTGCCGGACCCATAATTTTCTTTTTTAATCAAAGAAACTGTAACATAGAAATTAGCCAACCCAAGGTCAGATAGTAACTGATGTCAACCTAACCTGACTTCTGCCCTGAACTGCTGAGGAAATAAACCTGAAGTAGTGCAGCTAGTGAGAAAGACACTATTGAGTGCTGATGACTTACAACAAAATAGGAATTTTTATAAATATATTACCTATATGACTCACTAAGTATCTAGTATAACTCTGCAGGGAAGTACTGATATCCCATTTAATTGGTGAGGAAACCAGGGCGATGAGAAGGTAATGCATCTGACCAATGTCACATGACTAGTCGGTCCTGAAGGTGGGTTTCAGACCCAAGCTGTCGCTTGTCGGCTCCTTGCTTCCAGTCCCTGTGTTGCAGTGCCTTTCGTGACAGGTAAATGATAAGTGTACTAGACAAGCAGATAACTTTGTTATTACCTTTGTGATTTTGAACAATTAAAAAATTTTAGTATTTATTAAAAAGCTGAAGGGGTTACAGACCCATGTGGCTGTCAGATTCTGTTTATGGTGGAAGGTTGTGTGCAGGCAGATAAATATTTCAGTTTTCCTTCCTGTATCTGAGGCGGGGGAAAGGGATAAAGTGTGCTCTTCCTAATCATTTTATTTATGGCATACTGCATCAGTGCCAGGAGACAGAGACGGTTGTCGGATATTACCTTTGGGGTCCTCAATGTGTGGAGGAATGTTCCAGGGTGTTGCTTGAGTGGTCTTGATCTGAGAAGTTGTTTTACACGAGAGGTACCAAATTTTCTAAAGCCTTTTGGCTGTCCAGTCCTTATCTACCTACCTTAGTGTGTGCACAGACCTAGGTGTTGTAGTAGAGCCTGGCCTGGAGTGTTGTTCAACCTGCCATTCTTTCCATGTTTTGATAAGGCACTCAGTGTCTTTAGTTGGCTTAAATGAGCTGGCTCTCTTGTCTTGTGTTCCTCTGGGTATGCTCTGTTTCTTGCACAAGGGTAAGCAGCTGAGGTGGCCCAGTCCTGAGGGCAGGGATCTAGTAGTTAGTAGAATCATTAGAACCAGTGATCTAGTTAGTTAGTAGAATTAGGCTCCAGTCTGCCCCCTGCACCAGCCAATGCATGTTCCAGTGAGTGCAGATGCCTGATCAGTCCTGCAGGCACCAGCAGGATTCTGCAGCCTGGCTGGGCCTGCCCCCAGTCCCAGCTCCAGCCCTGGCTACTGATGCTTGGTTTGGCCTGCCTCCAGCCCCTGGTTTTCACTTGCACCAGTGGGTGCTGAGGCCTAGCAGGGAAAAGATCCCCTACCAGATGGCATTCCCATCCCTGATTGTTGTGAGTGCCGGTGGGTGCTGCAGAGCAGCCTGGTGTCCCTCAGCCCCAACACTCATCAGCTGTTACTGTGGATTAGGATGAACACGAAGAACCTCTGCCAGATCCACACCCTTATTCAGCTCTTGTGAATACTGGCAGTGCTGCGACCTCACCTGGCCTTGTCTGCATTCAGTTCTGGTTCTTGTGTGGACAAGTGTATTGGACTGACCCAGGCAGCCCCTAACTGTCTTTTGATCTGGCCTGTTCGAGCTCCCTTGACTACCTGCAGGTGCAGTGGCCTGGCCTATGGAAGCCCCAGGAATCATTTTATGTTTGTCAAACAAGCCCTCAGTGGCCCCTGTTGAGACCCATCCCCAGTCCCCCAGTCTTTAGCAATGCGTGGTCCCCCGTGTGCTCGTGGCAGTGTTGATGGTAAAGAGTGGCTCTGGCTGGTGTCTGCCCATGGTGGTACAGTTAACACAGAGCTAGCATTAACCAGACCCAGAATGCCCACCTGCTATGGGCTGTTTTTCTTCTAGCAGTGTAGCAGTTGCCTAGCTACAAGGCAACCTGGGCAGTTGCCTGAAGCTGCAGAACTTTTCATAATCTTACTGGGTATCATTTAGTGATTATCAATTAATTAATTTAGATAGATTTTAAATTTAAGGATAGATTAGTGGCTTATATTCATTTTTCTGTTAAACAGGATTTTGTAGGATTGATCAAACATTTTTTTTTCAAAACTTCCGTATATGTAAATTTATATAGGAATAGGAAAAAAAGAACCATATCCATATGTGAGTGCTTATTTTCCTGATAATAGAGCAACAAGTGGTTTTTAAACTGTTCAATAATATTTTGTTACAAAAGTGATCTGTAAAGCCCTGTCATTGAGAGATGCTTAACTATTAAGACTATCAAGATAGTCTTTGTGTGTTTTTTGTTTGCTTTTTATTTATTTATTTATTTTTTGAAAGATTTTTAATGTTGTTTAAATAGTTGAGAAGGTTGCATGTCTGTTTGGGTCTCTGATTAGGGTTGGGAGGGTCGCAGTATGGAGGAAGGTGGGTGTGGACAAATGTTCCAAATTGTTTTTCCCTCATGTGTTTGCGGGGGCGGGGTGCATAGGAAAGGGGACATTCCTGCTATCAAACTGCATCAGCATACAGGTTTAGGGGACAGTCATTTGATGATGCCTTAGAAACCCTGATATGAGGAAGAGTATTCTGAGGGTGTTAATTGGGTGGTTTTGATAGTTCTCAGATGTCATTGGCTTTGTTGCATCATAGTTGAGATTTTACCAAGGTCTGTTGACTGACCAAGGCCACCTTAGTGCTTCTACAGGAAGATAGATATTGCAAATGTAAACCTTGGCTGGAGAGTTGTCCAACCTGTTCTGCCTTTTGTCCTCTGACATAGCACTTGACGTCCTCCCCTAGCCTAGATGAGCTGGCCGTCATGTCCCCCATGTACATCTGGATATGCTGCCCACTGCACAGGCATGCACTCCAAGATTAGACCACTTATATTGTGCTTTCCCTGTGGCTGTGATTTGATTCCAGTGATTTAGTTGGGGAGTCCCCCAAGAAACCTCCTCTGAGGTGCCCTCTTGGGTGCCAGCCAGTGCAGGGTCAGGTTTGGCCCATTACCTGTACCAGCCAATGCATATACTACATACTGGTGGATGCAACGGCCTGGTGGGTCCTGACCCCAGCCCCATCTCACGCAAACTGTTGGGTGCTGCAGCCTAGTCCAGTCCAGCCCAGCTCAGCCTGCCATAGGCCTGGTTTTCATGCTTACTGGCAGGTGCTGCAAGCCAGTCAGTGTCACCCTCAATAACCACCACCAGGCTTGCTTCCAGCGCCAGTTTTTGGTGTGTTGGCATATGCTGTAGCCTAGCCCAGATGTCCCATATCCCATCTGGCTCTCATGCACACCTGTGAGTGCTGCAGCTTAGCTCAGTCCAGCCTGCCCCAAGACTTGGTTCACATTTGTGCCTATGGATACTGCTGCCTTGGTCAGCCTGGCCTGCTTCTAGCCCTGGATCTCACGCTCAGCAGTGGTTGCCACAGCCCAGTAGGGGACTGCCCATAGTTCCCCTACTAGCCCGCTCCCAGTCCTGGATCTTGAGCCTGCCAAGGGTACTGTGGTCCAGCTTGGCATGACTCGTACTCAGTCCTGGCACTTGCCAGCGGGTATGGCAGCCTAGTCTGCCCTGGCATGGCCACTCCCAGTCCCAGTTCTCATACTCACTAGTGGAAGAAGTGGCCTAGCAAGGGAGTCCTTGAAGTTCCCTTACCAGGCTCACTCTCAGCCCTGGGTCTTGAGTATGCTGGTGGGTGCTGTAGCCTGGTGGCATAGCCCACCTCCAGTCTCAGCATTCATAGACAGGTGCTGTAGTATGGTTCATCTCTGCCTGCCCCAGTCCCAGCTCTCACCAGTGGGTATAGCAGCCTATCCCTCTACCTCATGTGAACTAGTGGGTATTGCAGTCTTATCTAACCTGGCCTGCTCCTTGTCCTGGCTCTTACTTGTACAAGCTGTGGACTGGCCCAGTCTGACTCACCCCCACATTTGGCTCACACATATGCCAACAGATGCTGCAGCCTAGCCTGGCCTGGGCTGCCTCCAGCCTTGTTCACCAGTGGCTAGCAGGGGAATTCCCTAAGTTTCCCTACCAGGCCCACTCCACTCCTGGCATGAACCAGCAGATACTATGGTCTATCCCGACTGGCCCACACCCATTTTGGCTCTTGCTGCTGGGTGCTACAGCCTATCCCAGCCTGGCCCACTCCCAGCCCCAACTCTCATGTGAGCTGGCAGGTGCCACAGTCTAGCCTAGCCTGACAAACACCTGTTCTAGCTCTTATGAGCACCAGTGCTGGAGCCTGCCCTAGTCTGACCCACCCCCAAAACCAGCCGACTTGCATGCTGATGCAGCCTTGCCCAGCCTGATCTACCCCAGCCCAGACATTCATGCTTACCAGTGGAGCTGTAGCCTAGCAGGGAAGTTCACCTGCCAGTGCTGCTCCCAATCGCTGATCTCATGTGTATTGGCTGGTACCATGGCCCTACTTGGTATTGTCTGCCCTCTGTCCTGGTCTTTGCATGTGCCTAGCCCAAATGTCCTTGTCCTCTCTGATCTTCAGTCCATGTAGATGCACCAGTTGCTGCGCCAGCTGATCCGTTTCCCATTCAGCTGCCTGCCAATGCTCCTTGGCAAGTGCTGGAAGATGGCCTGTGGGTGCTATAGCCTAACCCAGCTCTAGTTCCCATGAGTGTCAGCTGAGTTTTGTGGTCCATTATGGCTCAGTTTGTCACCATTCCAAGTTCTTTGCACAAACCAGCAGGTACTACAGTCCTGCAGAGGCAAGCCCACAAGTCCCCTAAAGAATCTGTGCCCAGATATTATTTTCTTTTGTTTTGGTGGGCGCTGTGGCCCACCCCTGCTCTTATACTCCCGGACAGGTATTATAGCCCAGCCCAGTCACGCGTGTCCCCAAGTAACAGTGGGCAGCGGGTGATGCTATTAAGACGGCCCAGATTTCCCATGTGGGTGGGTGCCTTATTCTGACCCAGACAAGCCCTCTGATTTTCCTCCTCTAAACTACTCCATCTCAGCTCCTTTACCTGCCTGCAAATGCAGGTGCTTGGTCGTTGAAAGTCCCCAGAAATCAGTCCTTCCATTAAACATGCCCTCAGCCACTGCCACTCCAGTAAGTCCATAGACCCTCCTTCCCTAGGCAGTGTACAGCCCCCCTGCTTGGAGGCTAGGGAGGCATGTCCCACTCTGATTATTTCCTGCCTTCCCCACATATCTTTTTTTTTTTTTTTTTCATTTATTTTATTTTATTTTATTTTTGACAATCATTACATAGTTTATTAGGGCACAAAGGTTCAAGGGCTACAGGAAAGTGGGTAAAGCTATCATTTCCACATTTTTTTCCTATATCTGGGGTAAAGGGGGAGGTAAAGGGAGAAGCCCCACCCAGTCTCCCACCCATCCCAGGTTCCTGATATGGGGCATGCTCCGAAAGTCTTACTCAAGTAGTTTTGATATTTCATCAGTTATGAATTGCTGCCAGTCTTGCCATTCCAAGCACGATGAGGTCGCTGAGGACTCCTGATTGACATAGTCCATCTTAGAGTCTCCGTTTGTCCTGTTTTTCACTGCCAACATATGGCTGGGGTAGTTGATTGACTTGTTCTGTCCATTTTCTTTTCATGGTTAGGGTTATGAGTCTAGCAGTTTGATTGAAGAGATCCATAAAGAAACTTTGTCTGAGGTGAATCCAGATAGATTCTTGTGTGCACTTGCAAGTACAGGGCCCAGTGCAGTCCATCGCTCCAATCGGCTGGTGGTTGCAATTGCTGGGTCGGTTCTGTTTCCAGCCCTGTCTTCCACTGGAACCAATGGGTATTGCAGAACAGCCTGAGTCTGCCCAGCACACATTCTACCCTCACATAAACCAGTGGGAGCTGCAGCCTGGTCAGAGCGACCCACAATAACCCCCACCAGGCCTGTCCCCTATCCTGGTTCCCATGCTTGCCATTATGTGCAGCAGACTAGTCCAGTCTGTCCCACATCCCATTCAGCTCTCATACATGTCAATGGTCATTGAGCCCTAGTTCAACCCAACCAGCTCCACTATCCAGCCCACACACATGCTGTTTGGTACCTTTCTGTTTAACCATCACTGCCCCCTGGTTTTCATGCTTTCCAAGTCGGAATGGTAACCCAAGAGGAGGAGCCCACTATTTCCCTTCTAGGCCACTCCCATTCCCGGATTATGCACTCTCCAGGCGGTTCTGCAGTTTAACTTGACAGAATTAGCCCCAATACCAGCTTCTGCCAGCTGATATAGTGGCAATGCCCAAGCAACCCTCACCCACTCCAATTTATGCTTGCACCAGTAGGAATAGCCCAGTCTGGCTTTTCCCTGATCTGACGCACATGAGGCCCTCAGGTGTTGTAGCCCTGCCTAGTTTGGCCTGTCCCCATCCCAGCTCACGCTCTCCAGTGGGAGTAGCCGTCCTGCAGGGGAGCCCCCCACATTCCCCCTGCTGGCTCCGTCCCCTCCTTCCCTGGTTCTCACGTGTGCTGTTGGGTGCTGCGGCCACATCCAGTACAGGTCACCTCATTTCCCCACATATCTTAAGATAATAATAATAGAGTAGCATAGGCAACTGCTGGCACACTGGTGTAGTTAACACAGATTTGGCATTAACTAGTCCCAGAATGCCTGCCAGCTGTTGGCTGCTTTTCTGTCAGTAGTGTTAACTCTTGGCTTAAGTACCTAGGCAGTTGCCTATAGCTGGGGCAAGTAGTCTTTTCCTAATACCTTATTGTATTTTTTTTGAAGGTTTCCTTCAAGTAGGATGGTGCCTTTTTATTTTCCTCCATCAAAGTATGCACTCTGGAACCCAATACCAATTGGAGATGTCATCTACTTACATTTCAGTTACTACAGGTATGGGTATGCAGTGTTTCTCTTTTCAAGTCAAACCAGTGCAGGTAGGAGTTATAAATGAATGTATACGGCAAAGTTTATTATGAACAAGTACTCGTTATTTGATTTTACTTTTAAATTCAGAATTTAATTTCTGATATAATTCTTTTTCTTTTTTTTGTTGATGCTATTTATGTACTTTTTGTTTGTTTGTTTTGGTCTGTTTTTCTGCTTCTTTTTAAATCTGTTCCTTGTGATGCTAGCACTGTGGCATACACAGGGTAAGTTACTGCCTGTGGGCTGCATTGTGATATTGTAATTAAGCTGCCACTTATGCCAGTATCTAGTGTGTATGCCAGTTCAAGTCCCATTTTCTCTGCTTCTGCTCCAGCTCCATAAAAATAGAAGATGATCTAAGTTCTTGGATCCCTGTCACGCACGTGGGAGATCAGAAAGAAACCGCTGGCTCGTGGCTCCTGGCTTACACCTGGTCTAGTCCAAATTACTGTGGCCTTTTGGGGAGTGAACCACAGTATGGAAGCTTCATCTCTCTCCTCTCCTCTCTTTTTTTTTTTAATTTTTTTTTTTTATTTTTGACAATCTTTACATAGTTAATTAGGGTAAAAAAGGTACAAGGGCTTAAGACTATTATTTCCATATCGTTTCCTTCATTTATCTGAGGTAAAGGGAATATTGAGGAGAAGCCCCACCCAGTCTTCCACCCACCCCAGGTCTCGGATGTAGGGCATGCTCTGAGATACTTGCTCAAATGGTTTTGATAGTTCACCAGTTGCCAATGAATCGCTGCCAATCTCGCCACTCCAAGCTCTCCTCTCTTTTCTATAACTCTACTTTTCAGATAAATAAATAAATTTAAACAAACAATAATAATCACTTTCTGTGACTGTGCCTCTCAAAAAAATTGTTAAAAAAAAAAAAAAGAGCAGATGATAGTCCTTGAACTTGGGTTCCTGCCGTCTGTGTGGGAAACTTGACTGGAATTCCTGACTCTTGGCTTCTGCCTGGCCCAGAGACCTGTGGTGTTCTGACGGGTAAACCAGCAAATTCAGGAGGAAGACCCAGATTGTTCCCCCTCCCCTCTCCCAGTCTCTTTGTCCCCCTCTGTTGCTATGCTTTTCAAATAAATAGATAGACAAATAAACCTTTAAAACTTTTTCTATGTGTTTTATGTTATGTTATGTTGAGACAGAGTAGTCCTGTTCACTGGTTTGCTCCTCATAGGCCTACAGCGGGCCAGGCTCAAGCCGAAGGCCACAAGTGCAATTCTAGTATGTCATATGGGGTGGTCAGGACCTGATGCTTGAGATGTCACCTGCTGCCTTCCAGGGTGTGCACTAATAGGAAATTGGCATCAGGAGAGATACCTGGGCCTTGAGCTCACCCAATCTCACCATCCGGGATACAGGCCTCCGAACTGATGGCTTAACTACTGAGTAAACAGACATAAACCTAGTTTTTTCTGTGGCTATGTTAACCTGCCATCTAACTTGTTCACTTTAGTTTTTTCTCAATGTGGAAATATGTATGTTGTATATATAATAATTTACCTATCCATAATTGTACAATTCATTGAGCTTTTATATTTTTGTATGGTTCCTTTTAAAATACCTAATCTTTTTTTCATAGTATCTTGTTTCTAGCTCATAGTTTGTTTTTTCTTATGTTTTTTAAAGTGTTTTATTTATAGCCACATTCTGCATTCAGTAATGCTAATATCTCGGGCCACCGTAGATATCAGGCTAATATTCAGTTGTGACACTGTCATCCCTTATGGGTGCCAGTTTGTTTCTGGGTTGCTCCAATTTTTTTTTTTTAAAGATTTATTTATTTGTTGGAAAGTCAGATATACAGAGAGGAGAAGAGACAGAGAGGAAGATCTTCCATCCACTGATTCATTCCCCAAGTGACCAGAATGGCCAGAGCAGGAGCTGATCCAAAGCCAGGAGTTTCTTCTGGGTCCCCTACTTGGTTGCCAGGTCCCAAGGCTTTGGGCTGTCCTTGACTGCTTTGCTAGGCCACATGCAGGGAGCTGGATGGGAAGCAGGGCTCTGGGATTAGAACAAGTACCCGTATAGGGTCCTGATGCATGCAAGGTGAGGACTTTAGCCACTAGACTACCGCGCCGGGCCCACTTCTGATTTTGTTAGTGGCTTGGGAAAGCAGTGGAGGATAATCCCAGTCCTTGGGTTGCTGCTCCCATGAGGGAGACCTGGAAGAAGATCCTGGCTCCACATTTGCTCAGCTCTGGCAGTCTGTTTAGTATTGAACCAGAGGGTAGGAGATCTCTCTGCCACTTCTTCTATATAATTCTTTTAGGTAAAATAAATAACTCTTTAGAATAAAGAAAAAAAGCCAATGTCTGATATTCATAGGCAGTATGTAGATGTGATTATTTTAGTCAATCAAACTTTATACAAAAACAAGACAAAGTACATAGCTTGTTGATTCCTAGTTTGATTCATAGCTAAGCAAGTGCCTACAGAAAAATTAAAGCTTCAGGTTTTTTTTTTTTTTTTTTGAAAGGCAGATTTACAAAGAGAAGGAGATATAGAGAGATAGATCTTCCGTCCTCTGGTTTACTCCCCAAGTGGCTACAGTGGCTGGAGCTAAGCTTATCCGAAGCCAGGAGCTTCTTCTCGGTCTGCCACGTGGGGGTGTTTTTTAGACCATTCTCTACTGCTTTGCCCGGCCACAAGCAAGGAGCTGGATGGGAAGTGGAGCAGCCGGGACATGATCCAGTGCCTGGATGGGATTCCAGCACTTGGAGGGGAGGATTTAGCTACTGAACCATTGTGCCAGCCTTGCCATTTTTATATCCTAGTTATCCTCCATAACTGTTGTCCTTGGCATTTCCTAAAGTTGATCTTTCTGATGTTTTATGAAAATGTGTGTGCAATATGTTAGGCAGAATTTCACAGAGAAAAGGCTTTTATAAGGTTACATTATTGTTATTTTTCAGAAATCCCAAGCTTTTTGTGACTGAAAAGACCCTTCGGCTTGCTTATCGTCATGCTAAGCAGAATCAGAAAATTTTGTCATGCTTTTTGCTTGGTTCTCTTACAGTGGATGAAGGTAATATATTAAAAACTTTGTTGTATGGCTATAATAGCACTTATATTTATTCACTCAGTCAGTTGTTGTATGTGCTTTGTGCTAATTTTTTAAAGTTACAATTTTTTTTAAATTTGAAAAGCAGGTTTTTATAGAGTGGAGTGAGACAGAGATTTTCTATCGGCTAGTTTCCAAATGGCGACAGTGGTCAGAGCTGAGCTGATCAAAAGCTCGGAGCCAGGAGCCTCTTCTTGGCTTCCCACAGAGTGCAGGGGCCTAAGGCATTGGGCCATCCTCTACTGCTTTTCCCAGGCTATTATTAACAGAGTTGGGTCAGAAATTAAACCACTGTTCATGGTGCTGGCACCAAAGATGAACTTGCTCTGTCACCATGTTGGGCCCGATTGTGCTGATTTTCTTTGCCATATACAGGGTTATGAAGATGAGTAAAAGTAACTTGCACAGACTTTACAATCTAGACAGGTAAAAGAATATGTCAGCCAGTTATTTTTCAAAGTTTACTATTTGTTATGAAAAAAAAAAAATGCTTTCCTGAAAGGTAGCTTTGCTCTTTAACTTTATAAACAAGTAGACAATGTAATTGTTGTTATTTCTCTTCTTCAGATGAAGAAGGTGTGACACTGAGAGTAGATCGCTTTGATCCTGGTCGAGAAATGCCTGAATGTTTAGAAAAAATCCCAAGTGCCTCTCTTCCTGGTGACTTTCTGATTCCATGTAAAATTCATACTCAAGGACTTGGTGCAAGAGAAATGATGGCTCACAGTGCAAATGACTTGAGTTCAACTTTTAAGGTGAGATCCCTTGGTAGCTCGATATTCTTTATTTAGGAATTAAACTTGGCATGCCATGATATATTTTAATAAACTCTTATTTGAGAAGCATGCATAATGCTTTCTGATTGAATTATTATAGATCTGAAATCTGATTACACCTGGGTAGGTGATTTGGCCAGCATTCTAGAAGGGGAAACAGTGTAATGTAAATAGAAAAGTTCAAACAACTTAGTATAGTGTTAAGGATAAAGATTTTTGTTCATAACCAGACAAGAAACGTTAGGTTGATTAGATTAGGGATGTCTTTGCTGTCTGAGGAATTTAAATTTTGTCATTGGCCATGCAACCATTGAGGTTTCGCCAAAGAGGAAATGCTGTCGTATGAAAAATAGTTTGTCTGGAAGTCAGAGCAGCCTCTGAGTAGTTAGGCCATTGAAGCAGCTGGATGTGTGCTAGAAGCAGGTTCACCTGCCCATAATAGAGTGATGGCTGTGAGATGAAGGATACAGTGGATATGAGCAAATACTGAGGAAGAACCAAGTTCACAATATAGAATAAAAGGAAGGGACTTCAGATACTATGAGATTGAGTCAGAATTTATATATATATATGTATTTCCCTCCCCTCCATGTAGTAAATATTGGAGGCAAATATTCATAATAAGAATTCAGAGTGCTGCTGTGATATCCAAGTTGAAAACTTGTGATGGAGCTTGGAAATCTTGATCCTCTGAAGTAATTATTCATGTAATCTCTTTGTCACATGCATGCTATGAGAATTGAAATGTGATAAATCAGAAGTAACTTAATTTTGTGACTAAGACACCATGTGTATATTTATCTGTACCAAGATACTAACTTCAAAGAGAAGGAGACATTTCAAAGTTTTAAATTGTATAATATCTTCCTCAGGCTTTGCAACATCATGTAAGTAGCAAAGACTCCTTGGACTGTAGTAAGCTGCTTTCCCTAAGAGCTCAAATCACTTTCCGGGAGAATTTGGACGATGTGGATTTCGAGTTTTGCTGGGCAGCAGTAACCTTCTCAAATAACTTTAGATGCACACCTGTGAGGCCCATCCCTATTATTCCAACAGCTTTGGCAAGAAACTTGAGCAGTAATTTGAATATTGCTCAAGTTCAAGGGACCTATAAATATGGGTAAGTAAGATGCATTAATCCAAAATTTTAAATATTAAATACATTAGTGCATTTTTCCCAAATAGCCACATAATATGAAATAATTGTACAATCTGTTTACTTGCCAGACTTGGTGATTTGATCAGTAACCAGAGAAGTTAAAAAAATGATTAATTTTGCTGAGTGTGGAATTTTCCTTCAATGAGTTGTTGCCTACCATATCACAAAGTTTGGTGGTAAAAATTATGTTAAAATTGGTTTATACTTAATGCTCTTAAAATATAAGGAAATGTTATTTTGTGGTATTTGGCTTAGTTTTAGGCTCTTTTTGGCTTTGATGAATGACTGTGAACCAAAGAGAAGCTAGAAAGTTTGTAATATACAGTCTTAACTGTGAATACTGCAGATAGTGGAAAAGGATAATAAATAAAAACATGTTTACTCTTGCTTAACCAGCCCCCAACTGCTCAAGAGTAGAACTTTCTGCCAGAGCTGGAGTATAATCCTCTGCAGCTTTTTATAACCACTTTTAGTTTTCTTTTTTTTTTTTTAAGATTTATTTATTTTTTATTACAAAGTCAGATATACAGAAAGGAGGAGAGACAGAGGGGAAAATCTTCTGTCCTATGATTCACCCCCCAAAGTGAGCCGCAACGGCCAATGCTATGCCGATCCGAAGCCAGGATCCAGGAACTTCTTCTGGGTATTCCACACGGGTACAGGGTCCCAAAGCTTTGGGCCGTCCTTGACTGCTTTCCCAGGCCACAAGCAGGGAGCTGGATGGGAAGTGGAGCTGCCGGAATTAGAACCGGCGGCCCATATGGGATCCTGGCACATTCAAGGTGAGGACTTTAGCTGCTAGGCCATGCTGCTGGGCCCAACCACTTTTAGTTAGAGCTGCAGGACGGAAGCATGCTTTCTAATCCATGACCCACTGCTTCTCTGAAGCCTCATTTATTGTATCTGTTGTCTGCTGAACTAGGTTAGACAACGTTAGACCAGAGGAAGCTCTAGGTGCTACACTTGACTTCCTTTCACCAGATTCCACTTTAGTCCTTTTTTTTTTTTTTTTTAAAGGCAGATATACAGAGAGGAGGAGAGACAGAGAGGAAGATCTTTGGTCCGATGGCTCACCACAATGGCTGGAACTGAGCCAGTCTGGGAGCCAGGAGCCTCTTCTGTCTCTCCAACATGGGAGCAGGGTCCCAAGGCTTTGGGCCATCCTGGACTGCTTTCCCAGGCCAGAAACAGGGAGCTGGATGGGAAGTGGAGCTGCCGGGATTAGAACCGGCGCCCATATGGGATACCGGTGGGTTCAAGGCGAGGATCTTAACTACCGCACTATCACGCCGGGTGCCCTAGTTCTTGTTAAGTCTCTAGAACTGAAAATACTTAGCCAGGGTTCACTCAATTCCCCGGTTGTATCTTAAAATAATTCTTCAAAGGAGGATGAGAAAAAGAGAAGGTTTTGTTTTCAGAAAGTCAATGGAGTAACCAGGAAGGTCGTTTTCTGAGCCTCAAATTTTGACCAGTGAAGCTTTCTGGCTGAAGTGACACAAAGGAGGAAGTGTTGGTGTATGCCAAAATCATGGAGTGGTCAAACGTCATAGTGGTCAAATCATTTGAATTAAATTAAACACTTAGAATCTTGGGGTAATAAAGTGCTTCTTGGCTGGAACATGGGATTGTTGTTCAAATTAACCAAAATATTAGTTTTTGTTAGTATCCGTGCCCATTTACTTCTACAACATGAATTTACCTTTGAATTACTAATCTTTGACCCCTGCCCGCTAATAGTAACTAGGATGCTCAATATTCTATCCAAATGTCTGTTTCCCTTGCCTCTGTCTAGAATTATCTAATACATTTGTTCTTTTCGCCCAACCACATGCATCGATTGATTCACCATAATATTTATTAGAATTCTCTATGGAATAGATATTATGTAAGGCACTGGAAATAGATTTTTAAAATTCATACTTACTCTCATTATGGAAGTTTATATAGAGAGCTGGGGAATCAGAAAGATATGTAAATTGCTTGGGAAAATCATGGAAAGCCTGAACTAATTATTTTAAAGTTAAAACTTTATCAGGTGGGCAAGGCAGGGGAGAGCATGCAAGGCAAGTGTGTCATTGTTGATACGTAAATTGTATGCCAATTCAGGGTTAAAATTGCTGCTTATCTTGACAAATTCGTTGTCTTTGTGTATTAAGGTTATTGAAACAATAAGATCATCATCAGTGATTCTACCAAAATTAAAACATTACTTTAATTAACTCACTTTTTCTTTAAAAATTAATTAATTGATTTAAGAAGCAAAGAGGCAGGCAAAGCTTCTATCTCTGCAGGTTTGTCCCTCAAATACAACTTGCAGGGACTGGGCCAGCCAAAACTGTACAGTAGGAGTGCAGTCTAGGTCTCCTGTATGGCAAAACAATGAAATGAGCTCTCAGCCATTTTAATATCTCTAAGGCCTACTATCAATAATAAATGTATCGGGCCTGGCGGCATGGCCTAGTGGCTAAAGTCTTGCCTTGAACGCCCCAGGATCCCATATGGGCATCAGTTCTAATCCTGGCAGCTCCACTTCCCATCCAGCTCCCTGCTTGTGGCCTCGGAGGGCAGTCGAGGACGGCCCAAAACTTTGGGACCCTGCACCCGTGTGGGATACTGGAAGAAGTTCCTGGATCCTGGCTTCGGATCGGCATAGCATTGGCCATGGCATTCACTTGGGGAGTGAATCAAAGGATAGAGATCTTCCTCTCTGTCTCTCCTCCTCTCTGTATATCTGACTTTCCAATAAATAAATAAATCTTTAAAAAAATAATAAATGTATCAATGTTTAAGTGTAGTATAATGCCCTTTGAGGAAAAAGAAAGCTTTATGATTTTGTTATTATGGTTCCAAAGTGTTATAAGAGTGGTTGGAGTACTATAGTACATGGAAGTCCATTGTGTCTGCACTAACTCAGCCTCTGTTAGTGTCAAGTCACATCTCTTTTAGTCTTGTCAAGTCAAGCTAGATGCTTGAACATTTCTAGTAACAGGAGATTCTCCCAGGGAAATTTATTCAGCCCTCAAATTTCCCTTCCTGCATGTTAAATATTTGATTAAAATGAATAAATCAAACATTTTGAACTGGTTTCTTGTGTGCATGTTTTCATGAGAGACAGTGTTCATGTCATGTCATATGCTTCAACACTCAGATGTTTAGGCAAGAAATACATACTTTGAATTGCTTTAACATGAATGTTTTCTGTTTAGGTATCTTACCATGGATGAAACTCGTAAATTGTTACTTTTGCTGGAATCTGATCCCAAAGTTTATTCTCTGCCATTAGTAGGAATGTAAGTATTGGGTTATTTATTAAACCATTTTTAAACCCAGTATATATTCAAATACATATAAGCATAGGAATCAGTTGTACTAGATTTAGATCATCAAAAGCCAATGGTTCATAAGCTTTCATATTTTAATGGTAGATTTAGCTGAAATAATATTTTGCCTAATCTTAGGAAGTACTCACATATGTAAAATAAATAAAGGTTTATGTTCCCGGTTGAGGGTAAGTCCATTCTGTCAGCCTTTGTCAGCCTTCTCTCACTACTCAGTCATTAGGCACTTTGAAGAACCTGAGGTTCACTTTTTTCTTACAGTTAGTGATTAAAGGACAGACTATTCAGAAACTTACACTCATTCCGTGTTTTTTGAGTGCTTCCCATACATGTAGTATTATTCTTGGTGCTATTTATGGGTTTAAAAAATCCTCAAGGAATTCATAGTCAAGATGAGACAAATTTCACCAAAGAAAAAATAATGACGTATATGATTTATTATGAAATGAGCAGATAGAGTAAGTATTATTACTACTCTGTGAGAGAGACATGCTGGAGCATAATTATTATTATCATTATTATTTTAATTACATTGTGTTATTTGACATAGTTTCATAGGCTCTGGGATTCCCCCAACCCCTCCCCGCACCCTCCCCCAAGGTGGATTCCTTACCTTGTTGCAGTATTACAGATCAAATGAAGTCCAGATTCTTTCTTTGCAAACATATACCAAGCAAAGAGTCCAGCATCTAATTGACCAGATATATTCAACGGTTTCTTGGGGAGATCATCTCTGGTCTGAAGGTAGAGGTGGCAGAATATCATTCTGATCAATTAAAAGCCCCAACATAACATCAACAACAATTTACAACATTACGGAATTATTTGACATTGTATTGAATAAACAATATGTTACAAGATGCAAGTTCTTAACCACATCCTGTGACTACTTCGTTGACATTTCAATTTTAGTTTCTATACAACCAGCTTCGATACACCTTAAAATGGCTGTAGGGTACTATTCAGCTGTCTCCTGTCTATCCTCATTTTAGTATTTAGCAGTCTATAGAGTTGAAGCGTAATTCTACTGAACTTGGCAGATTTTAGGATAGTCTAAACTGACTTACAACTCTAGCAAGGCATATGTCAACAGTTGAGGTGTAGAACTGTTTTAGGAGGGGTGTGCAGAGAAATCTTCAATACCCTAGTGAGGAGTATCTAATCTCTGTGTCCTACCTAGTAAGGTATATGTGAATCCACACTGACCATTTCCTGTCTGGTTCTAAGGTTTTCTTGTTGTTCTCTGTCTATTCTAATTTTGTTTGTTAGTTTTTTTGGGGGGGAGCTTCAGAGTAACCCTGATGGTCATTGCAAGAGAGGATGGGGATCCAAAGTTGGAACTAAGTAAGGACCAGAGAAAGCTCCTCTCCCTAGTCCTGAAAGAAGTTTACTGTTCTTCTGTGTCTACGGACCGCTCAGGGCTCCTGGCTGTTGTTCTGATGACCTTGGATCCTGCGAGGAAGGATTGGGACTTCTTCCATCTCATGTGGTAGATGCCAACGGGGGTGGGTGACCTCAGAGTTCTCGGCCTCCGAAGGCACTCCAATTCCCTTGACAGTTGGAATTTAGTCCTTGGTGCTCATACTGATAGTCCTTGGTGTGGATCCAGGGGTCTCCAGGGTTGGGATACAAGCCTCCTCCTGTCCACCTGCATCACTCTGGGGTCCCCCCGTGCTCTGTGCATATTACCTCCTGTTAGGAGGTTGTCAGAATCATGGAGCATTATTATTAAACAGATGCATGGGCTGGACTCTTACTTGTTTGTAGTGGTGGGTGGACTGTTGGGAAAGGGAAGTCATATAAAGGAATGACATGTGCAAAGTTAATGTGAATGTACAGCTGCTGTCTGGTCCGTGAAATCTGCTTACAGTCTGGTTGCTGTGGTGATGGTATTGGCTGTAGGTTACTGACACCTAAATGAATACTTATCAAGATACTTCTGTATCATGATCTATCTGAATATGTATGGCATTTAGCCTTCTCAACAATTCTGTGAAGTGGTTTTAGACAGTAAACTTCAGTCTGTAATTTACCCCCTTCTGCCCCTAGCCTTCTGCTTTATCACCATTCACTGTTCTCGCCCATCTCTAGGACACAGAGGAGAGAACACACAAGGAAAATCATATGATCCTCTCTGGAAACAGTTAGATGCATACAAGGGGTTTTCTTTTTTTTTTTTCAAGATTTATGTTTATTATTTTTTCATTGGAAAGGCAGATATACAGAGAGGAGAGACAGAGAGGAAGATCTTCCATCCGATGATTCACTCCCCAAGTGAGCGCAACGGGCCGATACTATGCCGATCCGAAGCCAGGAGCCTCTTCCGGGTCTCCCTCATGGGTGCAGGTTCCCAAAGCTTTGGGCTGTCCTCGACTGCCCTCCCGGGCCACAGGCAGGGAGCTGGAAGGGAAGCGGGGCTGCCGGGATTAGAACCGGCGCCCATATGGCATCCTGGGGCGTGCAAGGCGAGGACCTTTAACCACTTGCGCCACCGCGCCGGGCCCTACAAGGGGTTTTCACAAAGCTTGTGGAAAATCTGTATGTGAAAATATGCATGGATTAAAAAACATCTTTTGTTTTGCATCCAAACTTACCTTATAATTCCATTTCCTATGGACTTACTTTAAAAAAATTTTTATTTTATTTACTTGAGAGAAAGAAAGGGAGAGGTGTACATAGAGATTATCCATCTGCTGGCTTGCTCATAGGCCTGCAATCTCCAGAGCTGAGACAGGCTGAAGCCAGGAACCTAGAACTCCATCCAGGTCCCCATGTGGATGTCAGGGACCCAAGCTGTCCTGCCATCTTCTGCTGCTTCCCCAAATCCATTAGCAAGGGGCTGGATTGGAAGAGGAGCAGGCAGGATTTGAGCTGTGTTCGTTGAATGCACACTGGCCACTGTGGCAGACACTTGCATGGATTTTCTGAAACCCCTTCATATTCTCTACCTTCAGTACCCGTATAGATTGGTTTTTATTGTTTTATTATTTTGCCTTTTAACATGTTGCTAGTAAATGACAATCATCTGCCATATTATGTTAGGAACATAAAGTATATCTGTAAATGACTATGGCTGTTAATTTCTATTTTTTTTCTTATAGTTGGCTATCTGGAATTATACATATCTACAGTCCTCAAGTATGGGCTTGCTGCTTGCGATACATGTTTAGTTCTTCTATTCAAGAAAGGCAAGTGATATTTTATTCCTGTGGTACTTAATATTTTTCTTTCCCTCCATTTGTATTTTATTGATCTTGTTTAAATTCTTAGAATATTATCTTAATCTTTCACAGTACTGATAAACAGATGTATTAAAAAAAACCCAATATGGGCTGACATTGTAGCATAGTGGATGAGGCTGCAGCCTGTGACACCAGTATCCAGCGTGGGCACTAGTTGAAGTCCTGACTGCTTCATTTTAAATTCTGCTCTCTGATAACCTGCATGGGAAAGTACAGAAGATGGCCCAAGTGCTTGGACCTCTGCACCCATGTGGGAAACTTGGGTAAAGCTCTTGACCTTGGCCTGGCCTTGCGGCCATTTAGAAAATGAACCAGCAGATGGAAAATTCTCTCCGTAACCCTGTATTTTATTTTTAAAAAGTTGTAAGTTCTGTAAGTCTGGAGGAGGATGCTGAGGTAGGGTGGTGGCAGGTACAGAGTTGCAGTTTTAAATAGGTGGTGAGAGAGGCGCAGATTTGAGGTGAAGGAGTCAGTCATGTGGCTGTCCAGGGAAAGAACAAAGCAAGTGCAGAGATCCTGGGGGAGGATCACCTTGCATCCTCAAGATGCGTCAAGGACGTCAGTGTGGCTAGAGAGGAGTAAGTAGAAAGGAGCGCAAAAAGTGGGAAGGCCATGGCTAAACTTTTGATCTTTGCTAATGTGATAGATGAAAAAGTTGCCTTTGCCAATTTTCTAAAAAAACAAAACAAAAAACCTCATTTATTTAAAAGAGTTATAGAGAGAGGGAGAGAATTGATCTTCATGTATTGCTTCATTTCCAAGATGGCCACAATGGCTAGGCTAGGCTGGGCTGAAGCTGGCAGATCTGTGTGTGTGGCACAGGCCCAAGTATTTAGACCATCTTGTGTTGCTTTCCCCAGGCCATTAACTGGGTTTTATCTTATTACCTTGCTTACCTTATTACCTACATTGTTGGTTTTAGCTTCTATGTCATACGCTGGACCCTTTACAATGTTTTATAATCTCATCTTCTAAGACGTGTGTGTTGTGTCTTCTAGCCTTTTTCTCTTTTGATTGGGATTGTTCCTTTTTTTGTTGTTTGTTGTAATTTATTTAGTCTGAAATTCTATCTGGGTCTCCCACATGGCTGGCAGGTCCAAAGTACTCGTGCCATCCTCCACTAGCTTCAGGTGTGTTAGCAGCGAAGTGAATTGGAAGTAGAGCAGCTGGTACTCAAAACTAGTTCTCACATGGGATGCTGGTAATGTGGGTGGTGCTCAACCCACTGGGTCACAACACAGGCTCTTCTGTTTGCTTTCTAACAGCATGTACACCCTCTCTCCACCACCCCTCCTATCTTTGTCTGTGGGATATAAAACAGAAGTATGTTTATGAATATATGAGCAACTTTGCAAAAACGTTATTTCTTTGCAATAAAACAAATAATTTTTGATTCTATGCTATGATTTAGTGCATTTAAACTTTTATTTTCAACACTTATTTATTTTGATTGCAAAGTCAGATATACAGAAAGGAGGAGAGACAGAGAGGAAGATCTTCCGTCTGATAATTCACTCCCCAAGTGACTGCAATGGCTGGAGCTGAGCCAATCCCAAGCCAGGAGCCAGGAGCTTCTTCCAGGTCTCCCACATTGGGTGCAGAGTCCCAAGGCTTTGGGCCTTCCTCGATTGCTTTACCAGACCACAAGCGGGGAGCTAGATGGGAAGCTGGACCGCTGGGATTAGAACCAGTGCCCATATGGGATCCTGTTGCGTGCAAGGCGAGGACTTCAGCTACTGAGCCACCGTGCCAGGCCCCATGCATTTAAACTTTGTTATCAGCTAGTAATATTGTGTTAAGTTCATATTGACAGTAAAAGCTTAGTAAGATTAATTTAAGCAGTGATTTTATCTGACTACTTGAGAGGAATTAAGTATAAAAGACCCTTGGCCTCTCTGGTCTCCATTGCTTTGTTTTCTTGGTTGAATAGCATATTTGCAACTTGTTTCGCATTCAACATTTTATAAAGTAGAGAGAGCTAAAATATTGCTAGTTAGTTTTAAAGATTAGTTAGTATAAAGCTTTTTCCTGATTTTACAAATATTTATAAATATCAATTAGCATATGATAAAATTATTGTTCATTTTACCTTTGTATGATAGTGAAATATTGCAAAACTTTAAATGCATATTTTAAAAAGACTAGGTAAATAGAAATGGCGAATCTAGAAAATGTAAAATTAGATAATCACTAAAAAAGACCAAAGAGATCTGAGCTGTAACACCACATAGACACAGGAAAAGAGAAAAGGATTGTCCTATAACCAAGCAGCAGCTGTGGAGTGTCAGGGTAGACTGTCACTGGGGACATTCGCCTCTCGGGTTCACTGGCTTCAGTCCCAGCTACTGCACCCATCCAGTTTTCTGCCACTGCGCCAGGAAAAGCAACAGTAGATGGGCCACGTGCTTGGGTCTCAGCTACTGACAAGATAGTGTTTCAGCCTACTGGGTTCAACCTGGCCTAGGTTCAGCTATTCTAGCCGCTTGAGGAGTCAGTCAGTGTATGCAATCTGTTTTTTCTCTGTTTCTTTTTTTCCACCTTACCTTTTTACCTAGCTTTTTACCCATTGAATAAATAAAAACTTACAAATTATGTCTTCATTTTTCTCAATTTATATAGAATATTGGTGTATACTTGAGGAAGAATTCTGTAAGTATACTCTACAGAGTACATGATTTTCATCTTTTCTGTATGCATTTCATTTTGTTTTGAAGTTTTAATAAGGAATATGTGAGAGTACTTATAGAAGCTCATAGTAAAATGGTCTTAAAAGACAAGTTTATTTTGGTCCAAAAAATTTTGCATTCTACATGTTGTTTTATAATAGGCATTTCCTTGAACTTTTTGAAAATGTCTTGTATTTCATAATAAAATATTTGTTAGGGTTTTTTTTTTTCTTAAAAATGTATGTTAAAATTAACATTTAAAGCATTGGGCCCACTTTAAAAAAAAAAGGAGGGGGCTGGCACAATAGCCTGGTGGCTAAAGTCCTTGCCTTGCATGCCTGGGATTCCATAAGGGTGCTGGTTCTAATCCTGGTGGCCCCACTTCTCATCCAGCTCCCTGCCTGTGGTCTGGGAAAGCAGTCAAGGATGGCTCATGGTCTTGGGACCCTGCACCCACATGGGAGATTCTTGGCTTCGGATTCACTCAGCTCCGGCCAGGAGCTTCTTCTGATTTTGCAATAAAAATGTCTTAGGGCCCAGCAGCATGGCCTAGTAGCTAAAGTCCTCGCCTTGAACGCGCCAGGATCCCATATGGGCACCGGTTCTAATCCCTGCAGCTCCACTTCCCATCCTGGGAAAGCAATTGAGGACAGCCCAAAGCCTTGGGACCTTGCACCCATGTGGGAGACCTGGAGGAGGTTCCTGGCTCCTGGCTTCTGTTGGCACAGCACCAGCCGTTGCGGCCACTTAGGGAGTGAATCATAGGATGGAAGGTCTTTCTCTCTGTCTCTCCTCCTCTCTATATCTGACTTTCCAATAAAAATAGATTTAAAAAATAATAATATCTTTTAAAAAAGAGCCTCATGTGAAGTTTTTTGAGTATAATCTTGTTACATTCAGCACATTTTAATTAAATTGCATTTTCTCTTTATAGAGTTTTTTCGGAATCTGGAAATTTTATCATAGTCCTCTACTCTCTGACACATAAGGAACCCGAGTTTTATGAATGCCTCCCTTGTGACAGTGGTGTCTCTGACCTTCAGTTTCAGTTATTAACCAACAAAGATACATTACATCTTTTCAAAGTAAGTGATCACCTGACCCATCAGTGAATGTTTGGGGCTGTGCTTCAGCAGCATCTAATCATTAAAATAGCAAATCAAGGGCCTGGCAAGGTAGGGTAATAGCTGAGGTCCTTGCCTTGCATGCACTGGGATACCATATGTGCGCCGGTTCTAATCTCAGCAGCTCCACTTCCCATCCAGTTCCTTGCTTGTGGCCTGAGAGGCAGTTAAGGACAACCCAAAACCTTTGGACATTGCTCCCGCATCAGAGACCCAGAAGTGGCTCCTGGCTCCTGGTTTGCATTGGCTTAATTCTGGCTGCCTTTCAAATAAAAACAAAATAAATTCTAGGAAGAAAAATTTCTTTTAAAAAGATTAAATGGGCTCAGCACAATGGCCTAGCGGCTAAAGTCCTCGCCTTGAATATGCCTGGGATTCCATATGGGTGCCAGTTCTAATCCTGGCAGCTGCACTTCTCATCCAGTTCCCTGCTTGTGGCCAGGGAAAGGAGCTGAGGACGGCCCAAAGCCTTGGGACCCTGCACCCGCGTGGGAGACTCGGAGGAAGTTCCTGGCTCTTGTCTGCGGATCTGCACAGCATTGGCTGTTGCGCTCACTTGGGGAGTAGAGACATTCAGTGACCACTTTTTAATAAAATCATTGGTATCCAAGGTCTAAGAAACACTAAACATGCATTCTTTAGTTTATTATGAAATATTTAATAATTAATACTTCTGAATAACCACCTATATCCACTTGATTTTGTGCCTTCATTTAAAGGTTATATCAGTTCATGATTACTTAAATTTCTAAGCTTTAATTTTAAATGTAATATATAAATGAGATCTGATAATTTCTAGTTTAGGGCCTATTGCTTTTTTTTTTTGGTAAGATTTATTTTTGTTTTATTGGAAAGGCAGATTTTACAGAGAAGGACATACAAAGAGAAGGATCTTCTGTTCACTGGTTCACTTCCCAAGTGGCTGCAATGGCCAGAGCTGAGCCGATCCAAAGCCAGGAGCTAGGAGCTTCTTCTAGGTCTCCCACATGGTTGCAGGGTCTCAAGGCCTTGGACCGTCCTCAGCTCCTTTCCCAGGCCACAAGCAGGGAACTGGATGGAAAGTAGAGCAGCCAGGATTAGAACTGGTGCCCGTATGGGATCCTGGTGTGTGCAAGGCGAGGATTTAAGCTACTAGGCTACTGTTCCGGGGCCAGGATCTATTGCTTTTAAATGTCTTTTTTTTTCTTTTATTTGTTTTTTAAACATTAGCATTTATTTCAATTATAAGTTGAAAGATGGAAATTGCTGCTGGCTTACTCCTAAAATGCTTGCTACAACTGGCAATTGGGTTATACTAAAGCTGGGGGTCAGGATCTCATTTGTGGTATCCCACATGGGTGAGAGGGACCTAGCTACTTAAACTGTCTTCACCATCTAGTCAAATGCCCATGATAGAGGTGTATCAATTATCATTTTATTTAGATGGTATCCTCAGTTCATAGTTAAAATCACTGTATTCTGATTATTAAGTTGTATGATATAGATGATTGTTTATTTTTGCTTATGTAGCTGGGCGGTGTTCTTAAAGAAGGTTATTAAAGAAGGTTATGGTTGCTGAAGTTGGGAGTGTACTTCCAGCCCTCAGCGTTTCAGAGTGCCTGTTTATCAAATAGAATTATCTGGTGTTTTTATTTAAGTCAAATTCAAAGTATGACTCATTTTATTTCAGAATGTTGAGCCTTCTGACAAAAACTCAATCTATTTTGAACTGAGTGCAGAAAGCCAAACTGCAGAAACAGAGTTATTCAGCAAGGTTTCCGCGGAACTTTCAGCTACGAGGTAAGGGATAACTTTCTGTTGTGACATATACTCTTTTTTTTTTTTTTTAATTTTTAAAACATTTTAAGAAGATTTATTTATTCTTATTGGAAAGTCAGAATTACAGAGAGAAGGAGGGACAGAAAGATCTTCCATGCTCTGGTTGATTCCCCAAATGGTTGCTACAGCTGGAGCTGAGCTGATCCAAAGCCAGGTGCTTCTTCCAGGTCTCCCCCCCATGCGTGCAGGGTCCCAAGGCTTTGGACCATCCTCTGTTGCCTTCCCAGGCCACAAGCAGGGAACTGGAAAGGAAGTGGAACAGCCAGGATAAGAACTGGCACCCATATGGGATCCCCGATGTGCTCAGCAAAGATTTTATCCACTGGGCTACCATGCCAGGCCCCATGACACACACACTCTTTTTTTTTTTTTTTTTAAATCAGAAAGGCGGATATACAGAGAGGAGGAGAGACAGAGAGGAAGATCTTCCGTCCGATGGCTCACTCCCCAAGTGGCTGCAATGGCTAGAACTGAGGCAATCCGAAGCTAAGAGCCAGGAGCCTCCTCCGGGTCTCCCACATGGGTGCAGGGTCCCAAGGCTTTGGGCTGTCCTCAGCTGCATTCCCAGGCCACAGGCAGGGAGCTCAGGGAAGCAGGGCTGCTGGGATATGAACCAGCGCCCATGTGGGATCCTGGCACATTCAACGCAAGGACTTTAACCACCATGCTATTGCGCCGGACCCCATTACATACACTCTTAAGAAATGATATTCATTAGTTTTTGGTGAGTAATCAGGATAATTTCCGTCCATCTCTTTCCTCCAGGTTTTTGTGTATTGGTGTGCTAGTACTGGTGATAGTAGGTGATGTGGTTATTGTTCATCTATGCTGCTATCTTTCTGAGATTTATTTGAGAGAAAGAGAGCAAGAATGCTCTCCTCTGCTAAATGACTACTCAGATGCCTACTGTGGACCTGGGCTGAGGGCTGAAGCTCATGGCTGAGAACTCAGTGCAGGTCCAAGATAGGTGACAGAGACCAACTGCGTGAGCCATCACCAGCTGCCTCTCAGACTCCTTATTAACGGGAGCCTCTTATCAGGTAGTGAACCAGTATTAGAATTCAAGTGCTCTTGATATGGCATATGGGTGTCTTACTTTTTTTTCTTTATTTTAGTGAAGTTTTATTAAGGTGTAATGGAAAAAATAATGAAAAGGGTACACCTGAGAGAGCCTTGTATTTTTTTTTTAATTATGAAGTTATTTAAAGGGTGGGGAGCTCCCAGGTATTCATAGGTCATGTTCAGAAATGAGGAGGGCCTAAAGGGGAAGTGTGGGAGAGAGGGATATGTGTTCACCCTCCCTCCTGTGTCCATGGAGAAAAAGAGGGAGTCCCTCTGAGTTGTCAGACCACTTACGTGCCTGCGATGGGAGTGACCACATGACATTGCCTTCAGGTACTCAGTGGAGGGAAGTACATCTTGGGAGAAGGGGTTTGGACTGATAGATGAGTGGGTGGGAGTTACATAGAGTGGGGGAGTGTGGCTTCCAACTTGGGACCCTAAGCTAGCTACCTAGCTGTTCTATTTCATTCACTCAGAAATTTCCAAACCTTAACCCTAAGGGTTGCTGAAGGTTGCAGATGCATCACATCTTCTGTAGTTATATCCTGATAATTGGGGACATAGAACTTGCCCTTGGTGAGTTTGGAAATCTCTTTCTCATCTATTGGATCCCTCAAGAGCTGGAGAATTTTCGGTTAGTGCTAAAGACTGTGTCCCCTGCATCAGCATCATTGCTCTAAGAAATTGTTGACTTCTCTGCAGCAGAGGTGACCCAGTCATAGAACATGTGTGCTGAGGCCAGACCACACTCCCATTAGCTTTAATCCTTGAGATCAGAGATCCTGACTTCTAGGCTAATAAGACATGAAAGCATGGGCTGATTGCAAATACTGAGAGCCATTAGTGGACACCTCGCCTCTCATCAGGTGTTGTGGCCTAGGGAGCTTAGTATGGCAGCACTTCAGTTCCCCAGCACACCCCAGCCTAGCTCTGGCTCTTGTGTATGCCCGTGGGTGCATCGACCTGACTTGGAGTTCCCTTAGCACAGGCCTTTTGCGCCCCTCTGCCCAACCCACGTGCAGCCTTGGCTCTTACCTACATTTTAGCCTCGAGGCAAAATGCTTACCCTCATTTTCTTGAACCCAGTGAGTATATTTCATATAATGAATGCAAATCTATCACTAGAATATACATTTTTTTGACAGTATGTGTTTATTTCTACATTTCTTGAGGTCAACCAAAAGGTGCTCAGTGGCCATTGATTCCTTTGCAATTAACAATACAGAATTAAACCCAACATAATCTGGCAAAAGGGGTAGTTTGTTAATCATGAATCTGACTAGCCAGCTTTCCTGGTCATCTAACATTGACCTAAAAGATCTAAGGTTTTAAGATATTAAATTAAGTGATCAGAATACCACTATGACTTAGTAAATTTACATCATTCAGTTTCAAAAAGAACACTAAATTAATGAAAGTGTGTGTGTGTCTCCCTCTACTCTCTAGATTATCCCAAAAATCATCTCCTGGGAAGGTGCCACTAAGGGATCTTGACTCTGGTGTTGAAGATGAAGATTTTTCTCCAAGACCCATTCCTAGTCCTCATCCAGTGAGTCAGAAGGTACCATTGACCTTTTTATGAGCTCACCTTTGTGGTTAGAGAGCTGAAAGTATCTTCATGTTAAAGCACTAAATATTTTTTTAAAAGATTTATTTTTTTTATTGGAAAGGCAGATATACAGAGAGGAGGAGAGACAGAGAGGAAGATCTTCCATCCAGTGGTTCACTTCCCAAGTGGCCACAAGAGCTGGAGCTGAGCGAATCCGAAACCAGGAGCCAGGAGATTCTTCCAGGTCTCCCACGTGGGTGCAGGATCCCAAGGCTTTGGAGCATCCTCGACTGCATTCCCAGTCCATAAGCAGGGAGCTGGATGGGAAGTGGAACAGTCAGGAATAGAACTGGCAGCCATATGAAATCCCTGGCACATGCTAGGCAATGATTTTAGCACTAGGGTATAGTGCTGGGCCCTTGACATAAATTTTTGTTATCTTGTTAGAAAATACTGTATTTGGGTAAAGTCCTTACTTGCAATCACCGGGATCCCATTTAGGCGCCAGTTCATGTCCTGGCTGGTCCACTTCCATTCCAGCTCTCTGTTTATGACCTGGGATTAGCAATCAGGGGTGGCCCCAAGTCTTAGGACTCTGTACTTGTGTGGGACACCTCGGGGAAGCTCATGGTTCCTAGCTTCTCCTGTTATGGCCACTTGGGGAATGACCCAGTAGCTGGAAGGTCTTTCTCTCTCTGCTGTCTATAGATTTGCCTTTCTAAAACAAGCATGAAATAAATCTTTTTTTTTTTAAGATTTATTTTTTTAATTTTTATTGGAAAGGCAGAAATACAGAGAGGAGAGACAGAGAGGAAGATCTTCCGTCCAATGATTCACTCCCCAAGTGAGCGCAAGGTGGCCGATGCTATGCCGATCCCAAGCCAGGAGCCTCTTCTGGGTCTCCCGCGCGGGTGCAGGGTCTCAAAGCTTTGGGCCGTCCTCGACTGCTTTCCCAGGCCACAAGCAGGGAGCTGGCTGGGAAGAGGGGCCGCCAGGATTAGAACCGGCGCCCATATGGGATCCCGGGCGTGCAAGGCGAGGACCTTAACCACTTGCGCCACCGCGCCAGGCCCAAAATAAATCTTAAAAAACATTTTTATTTGCTCTCAGGGGCTAATTGTAATACCCCTGTCATAACTTTTTGATTGTTGTCAACGAGAAGGCTGTTTTAGGTTTGTTTACCTTTACTGGAATATTGGTTACCAGAGAAGAAATTGGATTTTTAAAAATTACTAATATTTTTTAATTTTCGGAAAAAATATTTTGAAATATTTACTAGTGGATTCTTTGCTAAGGTTACATAAATATTATTTTATGTTAGACCTGTTAGAGCATTGTGCCTGTGATAATTTGTTTTCAGATAATAAAAAAGTCTGCTAAGTAGTTTTGCATGTTTTGTTCTTTAACCTATGCAATATTCATCACTATTGTAGTAGAAGTTCCACTATTAAATAAGCCTTGTAAGAGCCTTGTTTATTTTGCTCAAGATTGTATTCCTAGTGCCTAGGAAGCTGAAGATACCCAATAGATATTTGCTGATGGTATAAATAATTAATACCTTGTAATGCATATTTGGAAATAATTTGTGAAATGCCAGCCTTTAGAAACTAATGTATGTATTTTCCCTTAAAAATATTTTCTTCTTCCTTTTTTTTTTTTTTTTAATCTATAGATGTCAAAGATCCAGCCATCAGTTCCTGAACTTTCGCTTGTGTTGGATGGCAGTATTACGGAATCAAACCCTCTTCCTAAGCCCCTGGAAGTGGGGAAGGATGACAGTTCTCCTCTGTTAATGAACCACTCTGTGAACCCACTGCAACCCCACGTCTGTGATGAGAAACAGAGCTTTGAACCTGGAGAATCTCCCTTGAGACAGATACCGGATCAGTTAAGGCAGGGAACTGTTCCTTTGAGGCACTGCAAAGTAAGACAGACATCTGCCTGTGCAAAAGGAAGCCCTTATGTCAGGGACAGTGTCAAGCCAGCGTTTCCTAATGGGCCAGTTTCTGATACATCTGAAAAACTTCCAGCAGTTTCTGCTGGACATGTGCCTAAAGAAGAATATTCTGACAGACCTTCTACACTTAATTCTAGACAGTCTTCTCTTGCTCCACAGCCTCACTTAAATAATTTTGTTTTACCTCATATTTTGGAAGGACCAGTGGAACTTCAGATGCCTACTCTGTCATCACCATCTTACTATTGTACAAATGTTTGTGGATGTTGTCGGCGTCATGGCCATATTCAATACAGTCCAATAAAGTCTTGGCAAGGTACAAATACAGTAGGATCATTTCAAGACCTGCCATCTGAAGCTCTTCAGAAGCATCCATTATTTCACCCAAGTGGATGTCCTGCTGTGTGCCATAACGCCTTGTATTCTTCAAGTAGTCCAATAGCCTTGAGACCTCAGGGAGGTATGGGCAATTGTTCTCCTTGCAATAATAGTGAACCATCTCCTGTGGCAAATCTGCCTTCACGCGTGGATCCTTGTACTCCACAGCCGTGTGCAGTGTGTATTCACACACCCAAGACTGAGTCTGATAATGGCATGATGGGTCTGACTCCAGATGCGTATCGGTTCCTCACAGAGCAAGACAGACAACTGAGACTACTTCAGGCCCAGGTTTGCGTGGTGCTTTCTTAGTTATGTTTAATTATGTTTAAATTTTTAATATTATATTTATATAATATATCAATGTATAATATGTTATATTTATATATAATATTAATTTATATATTAATATATTCGTATTATATTTTTATATTAATATGTTTTTTAAAAACTACCAAATGTCAGTAATGACTTAATAAAATTACAGAATATCAGAACTAGAAGGAGGCTTTAAGAAATGAAGTCCCCTGTGTTTTACAGATAAATAAAATGAAGATTAGTGCTAGTTAGTAGTAGAACCAGGACTAGAAAATAAGCCTTTCTTCCATCATGAGCATATTTTAATCTAGAACATAATTGCATTTTTCGTTTGTATTTTGCTCCTAATGAAACATATATATATGGGCACCATATGGGCACCGGTTCTAATCCTGGCAGCTCCACTTCCCATCCAGCTCCCTGCTTGTGGCCTGGGAAAGCAGTGGAGGATGCCCAAGTGTTTGGGACCCTGCACCCATGTGGGATACTGGAAGAAGTTCCTGGATCCTGGCTTCGGATTGGCATAGCATCGGCCACCTTGCGCTCACTTGGGGAGTGAATCATTGGATGGAAGATCTTCCTCTCTGTCTCTCTTCCTCTCTGTATATCTGACTTTCCAATAAATAAATAAATAAATCTTTTAAAAAAATATTTTGGATAGGCGGACTTTTTACTCAGCAGTGAAAATGCTATTGTGATACCACATCCTAAGTCCCTGGTATTGCAAACAGCATAGCTGTGAATATCCTTGTACTGGCATCTGTTTATGTGCCTGTATCTCTGTATCATAAAACCTAGAAGTATAACTTCTAGCTCAAGGAAGCATGTATTTTAACGTTCAAGGATAATGATATTTGTCACTCTCCTAGTGTTAAGTTATTTTGGTGTTCTCGTTAAAGATCTGGTTCCAGATTTCTTAAATTATAAACCAGCTTCTGGATAATACAAATTATGCAAAATACTTACTAAAAATTCTTTAGTTTTCTCGCTTATAAAATAGGGTTAAAGGATTGAGTGAGTTACTAGGAGGGCGTAGAATAATAGTGCCTGCCATGTAGTTGTTACTTACTAAATGTTAAATGTTTTCATTGTCATTCCCTCAGTCAGTGTTATCATTTCCCAGAAATCAGAAACCCAGGCTTTACTTTCTAGATAGATCCTGAACTTAGCATCTCTTTATCATTTCTCACATGCTCACCATAATGTAAACAAATTTTTAATCCTATCTTCCATGCTGTTTTCTGTGTTGTACCCTCATGTGTTCTGCAGTTCAAAATGTAATAGCTTTTAAAAGTTCAGATCAGATCATTTCATGTGTGCTTAAAAATCTAATAGGAAGTAAGTGTTTATCTTATCAGTTAAGATGCCTGCATCCCGTATCAGGTACCTGGCTTTGATTTTTGGATACAGTTCCTGACTCTGGTCCTTCCTATACTAATGCAGATCCTGGAAAGAGGTGATTATGGCCCACTCAAGTTACTGGGTTCCTGCCACGTGCGTGGGAGACCTGGATCAAGTTCCTGCCTTTACCTGCATCCAACCCCTGTCTATTACGAACATTTAAGGAGTGAACCGTAAATGGGCAGCTCTTTGTGTGTGTCTATTTATTCAACTTCTGATGATTTCCGTGGTAATTAGAAGAAATCCAACTGCTGTTTCCCTATTCCAACTTCTTACTTAAAATCTGTGTTTACCAGTCTGCAGGTACAGTTTCAGTAATTCTTGTTCAAACATGTCAGAACATGTTAACACTTTAGGTTCAGTTCTTTTTTCTTTTGGCCAGGAATAACTTTCTTTTTCTTTTCCTTTTCCTTTTTTCTTTTCTTCTTCTTCCTTTTTTGTTTTTTAAGATTTTAAAAGACAGGATATTTGAAAGGCAGAGTTACAAAGGGAGAGGGAAAAACTGATATCCCATCTGCTGGTTCACTCCCCAAATACTCTCAATGGCTCTGGGTAATCCAGGCTGAAGCCAGAAGCTTAGAGATTCTTCTGGTTCTCCATGTGAATCTAAGGCTCAAGTACTTGGACCATCTTCTGCTTTCCCAGGCACATTAGCAGAGAGTTGAATTGGAACTGGAACAGACAGAATATGAACCCCTTATGGGAAGCCAGCATTTCAAGTGGTAGCTACAATCATGAATGGGAGCTGGATTCAAATCCTGCCACTGCCATGTGAGATGTGGTTGCCTCAAGCTGCCATCATATTTGCTGTGCCAAATGTGCACCCCTCTGAAGTCTTTCTACTTAATTTATAAGAAATTACTATGGGGCTTAGTACAATAGCTATACCCTTACCTTACATCTACCGGGATCCCATTTGATTACTGGTTCATCTCTTGGCTACTCTGCTTAGCATCCAGCTCCCTGCTTGTGGACTGGGAAAGCAGTAGATTATGGCGCAAAGCCTTGGGACCCTGCACCCATGTTTCTGGCTGCTTGCTTCTAATTGGCTCAGTTCCAGCCATTGTGGCTACTTCAGGAATGAACCAATGGATGAAAGATCTTCCTCTCTGTCTCTCCTTCTCTCTACATATCTGCCTTTCCAATAAAAATAAATACATCTTAAAAATAAAAATAAATAAAATGCTCAGATAAGCAAATTCCTAGGGATCGAAGTAATGGTTGCCAGGGACTTGGGAGATGGACGTAGGGAGGTGGCTTGCTAATGGGCTCAGAGTTTTTTCAAGGGTACATGCAACTGTTCTGGAGTTAAATACTGGGTGTGGTGGGAAGCTTAATGAAAATATTAAAAACCACCAAATTGTGCACTTTAAACCAGGGGTTCTTATAGTTTGTGAATTATATCTCAATTTATTATTTAAAAAATATTTTTGCTCAAGTTTTATTTTAAATTCTACTTATTATTTTACAATACAGTTCCATAGGCCCTGCGATTTCCCTTACCGCTTCCCAATCTCCTTTCCCTTCGCAGAGTTCCCCTATATTATTATTATAGTATAGTTCTTCATAAACAGTCATATGTCCATCATTGTGGGCATGGATAATGGCAGAGTGTCCAGCATCCTATTGTCAAGATATATTACACAGTTTCACTGGGAGTCCACCTTTGGTCTGGAAGTAGAGATGCATACTGCATTGTATCCTCACATCTGGATATGATATTACATAGTTACTGTACATCCCCTTAAACAAGAAGCCACAATGCAAAGTTAATAACAGGAAGAAAAATAGAAATTTACAACACCATGAAGTTAAATAACATGGTACTAGATATGATACTCTCCATAACACAGTTACTGCAGATCCCCTTGCCACGTTCAAGGCAAGGACTTTAGCTTTTAGGCCACGGCGCCAGGCCCTCCTTGCAGTCTTAAATCCATAGCCACACTGTACAAAATGACTCCTGATGTGCCACTACTAGAGTTTTTGATCTGCTGGCCGCCAGGTCTGAGGGCTACTTGGACTATCTTGGGTGGAACCTTGTTGCTGGTTAGTTCCGTCTGCCACTGCAATTCAGATTGTTACTGGCTGAATGTCACTGGGGTATTGGTCACTGCAACACCACATCCTTTGTCCACTGCTTTCCTGTGTCTGTCATTCTCCAGGTGCCCCTCTGCTGTTCTATCCTGGAATGTGCTCTCTCTGCTTCATACTGGCTAATGTTTCTCTGTCGGTTTAAATGTGTCCTTATACTATCCTACCACCTTGAATCTCCATTTATATCTCAATTTAAGAAGGAGGAAAGTATGTTGTTGTCCTGTGGGTTTTGAAACACTTGTAATGCTCGCAAACCATAATGGAGGACCCATTTGGGTCTCAGTTGTTCCACTTCCTTCCACCTCTCTGATAATGTACCTGGGAAAGCAGTGGAAGGTGGGTCATGTACCTGGGCTCCTGTCAGCCACATGGGAAACTCAGATAATCTTAGGTTCCCAGCGTTAGCCTGTCTTAGCGCCAGATAGTGAACCAGTGGATGAGAAATCTCTTTCACTCTCCCTCTAATTTTGTCACTTGACGTTTCAAATAAATAAATAAATCTGGGAAAGGAAGAGTGAGAAGGATTTTGGTACTTGAATCTCAGCTTTGGTGTTTGTTAATTATTTGACTTAGACAAGTAACTTAACTTTTTAATGTCATAAATTTTTATTTGTAAAATGTGTTTCCTAGCAATCATTTCAGTCTTTACAGGGTTGTCATAAAAACCATATGTGATTTTTTTTAAAAAGATTTATTTATTTTTATTACAAAGTCGGATATACAGAGAGGAGGAGAGACAGAGAGGAAGATCTTCCATCCTATGATTCACTCCCTAAGTGAGTGCAACAGCCCGAAGCTGGGAACCAGGAACCTCTTCTGGGTATCCTACAGGGTGCAGGGTCCCAAGGCTTTGGGCCATCCTCTGCTGCTTTCCCAGGCCACAAGCAGGGAGCTGGGTAGGAAGTGGAGTAGCTGGGACTAGAACCAGTGCCCATATAGGATCCTGGTGCGTTCAAAGCAAGGACTTTAGCCACTTTGCTACTGTGCTGGGCCCTTGAAAGTCAGATTTACAGAGAAGGAGAAATAGAGAAGCCAGAGCTGAGCTGAGCTGAAGCCAGGAGCCAGGAACTTCCTCCCGATGTTTCACACGGGTGCAGTGTCCCAAGGCCTTGCGCCACAAGCAGGGAGCTGTTAAGGGAGGTAGAGCAGCCGGGAAATGAACTGGCGTTCCTTTGGGATTCCTGTGTGTGCAAGTCAAGGACTTTAGCCATTAGGCTACCACACCACTGCCCTTCATGTATACACATTTAAGAGGATAATACTGAATCCCACCTACCCTCACACTCATTCTTTGCTTCCCTCCTTTTGTTTTCTCCTTCCTTTGGGTTACCTCCACTGCTTTTCCAGGCCACAAGCACGGAGCTGGATTAGAAGTGGAGCAAGTGGGTCATGAACCAGTGCTCATTTGGGATCCCAGCACATTTAAGGCAGAATTTAGCCACTGAGCCATCGTGCTGGGCCCACCTTTATTTAAAAATTTTTTAAGGTTTATTTTAACTCATTTGTTTTTATCTACTTGGAAAGCAAAGTGATAGAAAGATTAGATCCACTGATTTCCTCCGTAAATGCTCAAAAGGACTGGAGCTTGTCCTTGCAAAGGCAGGAGGCGGCAACTCCATTCGGGTCTCCCATGAGAATAGCAGGGGTCCAAGGTCATTATCAATTATTATTATTTCCAATTGGAACATGGACAACTCTGGTTAACCATTATAAGAAGAATTATGGGGCAGTGTCATGGCTCAGAAAGTTCATCATTCCACCCTGTGGTCCAGCATTCCGGAAGGTTCATGTCCTGGTCGCTCTGCTTCCGTTCCACCTCCCTGCTTGTGGCCTGAGAAAGCTGCGGAGGATTTGCTGCCCCTGAGCCCCTATGGGAGACCTGGAAAAAGCTCTTAACTTTTGGTGTTGGATCAGCTTAGTTCTAGCTTTGTAGCCATTGGGAGTGAACCAGTAGATGGAAGCCCTTCTCTCTTTCTCCCCTTCTTCTATAAAACCACCTTTCCAAAAAAAAAGAAGAAGAAGAATTGTGTGTGAAATGGTCAGTATTTGGTTCATGAAACAGGAGTTCACCTGCAATTTTACTTTTGATTTATGAGTGAAATAGTAATAAAATGTTGGTTTGGGGCCCGGTGCAGTAGCCTAGTGGTTAAAGTCATCGCCTTTCATGCACTACTGTGATCCCATATGGGCGCCAGTTCTATTTCTGATTGCTCCCCTTCCCAGCCAGCTTCCTGCTTGTGGTCTGGGAAGGCAGTTGAGGATGGGCCAAAGCCTTGGGACCCTGCACCCATGTGGGAGACCTGAAAGAAACTCATGGCTCCTGGCTTCAGATTGGCTCAGCTCCAGCCGTGTGGCCACGTGGGGAGTAAATCAGTGGATGAAAGATCATCCTCTCTGTCTCCCCTCTGTTTATATCTGACTTTCTAATAAAAATAAATAATTCTTTGAAAAAAAAAAAGTTGGTTTAAATTGTTAATCATTCAGGCTTTTCTTTCTTGAATGTCAAATTACAAACACTAAACACCTTTGTTTCACTTTTCAAATTACAATTAAAGTTCTTTTTAATGACTGACAGCAATGTTCTATATTGAACGTTTCATGTTATGAAATAATTGAAATGTAAGAAAATAATTTACAGTCAGTTACTGAGTCTCCTTAGAATTGGTGAACTCTGCAGTTGCCACTCTGTTGATTCCTTCCCTGTGGATTAAAGCATGCTTTGACTTGGCACAGATTGAGCGTTTGTTGGCAGCACAGTCGCTGCAGGCCTGCTCCTGTAAGACAACCAGTGCTGAAGACACAGTGCAAGCAGCCAGACCAAAGGAGCTCGTGTCCATGGAAGCACAACCTTCCCCTGGCTTACACACGAGAAAAAGTGTGAGCATCGCTGTGAGCACAGGTAATTTCTTCTTTATTTCTTTTTTGACATTTTAATATAAAAAGATTGTTCTAATGTGCTTCTTACCTGATTCACATTGACATTGGTGTGCCGTGCAGCAGGCCAAGGTGACTTTTTTAAGCCTGTGTGATTGTCTTTGTGTAGTATAACTATTCCTGCACACAGGTAGAGGTCTACCTTCTGTGACCCTTAGGCTTTGCCTCTTCATGTGCTGCACTCATTTCTGATAAGTGTCTGTCAGGAGGACTTTGACTTACACAGTCCTGATTCTCGATCATGAAAGGTCTGTAGGATTCCCGTGAGTAGAGATGAAGGATGGGTATGGGCTCAGTAAGCATACTTAGGGTTCTAAGTTGTAATTGTGACACTGATAAGCAGGAAGAGGAAGGGCTGTGCAGTATATTGATAAAATTTGATAACTGATTGGATGCAGCAACTGAGGAAGAGTTAAACACTGAGAAGTTAACTCCAGCTAAATGAAATATAGTATCCCGAATTGGATAGAACAAAGACGTGAGTAGAAAAGTTGATTGAATCTGAATAAAGTCTAGAGCATATTAGTAAATAGTAATAAAGTAGTGTTGATTTCATTTGAATTTGGTTTTGGAGGTAAAACAAAGAAGGAATGGCATCTGTATTCTTTTCTCTAACTCATTGAAATTCTCTAAGTAGACAGAAACAGGAAAGAAGGGAACGGGCAGGAGCCACTTGCCCATGTAGATCAAACTTACACTCAGGAGTAGTTGAAATTTTTTGTTTGTAGCAACCAATTTTGAACTACTTTAACCAAGGAAAGGGAATTTTCTGGAGAGCAAAGGATAAGAATGGAGTTGGGAGGCTGGCATTGTGGCTCCGTGGGCTGAGCTGCTGCTTGTAGGGTTGGAATTCCATAGAGGAGTGCTAATTTCAGTTTTGGCTACTCTGCTTTTGATTTGGTTGGAATTCATTCTATCTGATGTTTTTACATATTATAGTGGTTGACCTAAAAATTGCATTCTAGTAGCTAAATTTTTATATTGTTCTAGCCATATTTTCTCAAACAATCTCACTGTTCCTTCAGCCTCATTTTCTTTTTCTTTAATGGCTTGAGCATTAAGCTTTGTTATACATAGAGAAATGAACCATTAATGACTGCAGACTGGGACACAGTGGTGCTGGGTGGAAGATGGCTAGCTCTTTGGAAAGTGAGCAGCTTTAGGTGCCTCAGAGGCTCGTGCCACATTGATTGCTGAGTCAGATGGATTGGGCTGCGTGCTCAACACCACAGGGCATCAAGGCACTAAGTAACTCTGCCCACACTGCTTCTCTGTTTCATGTGGGGCTTCCAGGGCAGTACCCAGAAGCAAGTTATTGAAGCACAGGGGCTTCCTGAGGTAGCCCAGGCCTGTCTAAAATCACAAGCAATATGTTTAATTGGATGATTTCCATTTTCACAAACTATATCCAACATTTCAAAACATCAGAACTTGGGCCTGACACTATGACCTAGCAGCTAAAGTCCTCGCCTTGAACGCACCAGGATCCCATATAGGCGCCGGTTCTAATCCCAGCAGCTCCACTTCCCATCCAGCTCCCTGCTTGTGGTCTGGGAAAGCAATTGAGGACAGCCCAAAGCCTTGGGACCCTTTACCCATGTGGGAGACCCAGAGGAGGATATGGGCTCCAGGAGGCTTTGGATCAGCGCAGCACCAGCCATTGCAGTCACTTGGGGAGTGAATCATTGGGCAGAAGATATTTCTGTCTCTCCTCCTCTCTATATATCTGACTTTGCAATAAAAATAAATAAATATTTAAAAAAGAATAAAAAACAAAAGTATGTAGAAAAAATAAAAATAATAAAAACATCAGAACTCGGGGAACTGAATAGTATGTAGGCTGTTCAGTTTCAGTTTCAGACTGTAGAGAACCTGAATGACCTAGTTTGGGTTAGATTCTAATCTCTGGATCAAAGATGAGCGGGTTGGCAAATTCATGCTGGAACAGATCTGATGGCTTCTCCTTTGTAGATGGTAGGGGTGGTTGTGTGTGTAAGGGGGACTGGTAAAGGAGCTTGTTAATATTTTTTTTAAAGATTATTTATTTTAAAAGATTTATTTATTGGAAAGGCAGATATACAGAGAGGCACTCACAAGGTGAGAATTAACCAATTGTGCTCACTCTTGATCTTCCTACTTTTTTGTTTTTAAGATTTTTAAATTTATTTTTATTGTAAAGTCAGATATACAGAGAGGAGGAGAGATAGAGAGATATCTTCCGTCCGATGATTCACTCCCTGAGTGACTGCAATGGCTGTTGCTGTACAATCTGAAGCCAGGAGTCAGGGACCTCTTCCAGGTCTGCCACACGGGTAAAGGGTCCGAAGGCTTTGGGCCGCCCTCAATTGCTTTCCCAGGCCACAAGCAGGGAGCTGGATGGGAAGTAGAGCTGCTGGGATTAGAACCAGTGCTCATATGGGATCCCAGCGTGTTTAAGGCGAGGACTTTAGCCTCTAGGCCACGGAGCCGGGCCTGATCTTCCTACTTTTTATCCTGTTCAGTATTATTGTTAACTGTGACCCTGTGATTACAGACTAGATTTTTTTTTAAAATGAAGGAATATGGATCCCACTGTAGTCCTGTAATTTGTTGGCATAGCAAGAAGGGTAACTGGTTATTACAAGCAAATAGCAAGTACTTTGTCTAGCCAAATTGAGATGTTTTTATTTAACCACACACAGGTCATTGCATATCCTATATTTTAAATAACATGTGTTACTATCTGAAAGAAAAAAAATGAGACAACCTGGAATTGGCCTGTTTTAAACTGTAAATCTGAGTTGATCTCATTTCATTTAAAAACCTTACTTTGGCACAGGAAAAGAAATTTAATAAGGTAAAACAATAGAGAGAAATAGACATCTTCGTCTGTTGTTTCGCTCCCAAATACAGGCAAAAGGCAGAGCTGGGCTAAGCCAAAACCAGAAGCTGGGACTCTGCCCAGGACATAGCTAGCGCCATTGTCTGTTGCCCTCCAGGGTGTGTGTTAGCAGGTAGCTGGACAGGTTCAGATGGTAACGTGGACCCAGGTGCTGCAGTGTGGACACAGGTGTTCCAAGCCACATCCTAGCCACCATACCAAATACCTGCACCTAACAGCTTATAAACCATTATGTAGCAATATTTCCCAAGTTGCCAAATGTATGTGGCTCATAGGGCAAAAGGTGATTTAAAGTGGTATATAGATGAATATTTTATGTTTTTTTGTTTGTTTTTTACAATTTTTATTTATTTATTGGAAAGTCAGATATACAGAGAGGAGGAGAGACAGAGAGGAAGGTCTTCTGTCCAATGGCTCACTCCCCAAGTGAGCGCAACGACCGATGCTATGCCGATCCGAAGCCAGGATCCAGAAACCTCTTCCGGGTCTCCCACATGGGTGCAGGGTCCCAAAGCTTTGGCCCGTCGTTGACTGCTTTCCCAGGCCACAGGCAGGGAGCTGGATGGGAAGTAGAGCTGCAGGGATTAGAACCGGCACCCATATGGGATCCCAGGGTGTTCAAGGCGAGGAGTTTAGCCACTAGGCCATGCCGCCATGCCCGAATATTTTATGTTTTGTAGATGTATTTATTACTATGAATATTGGGAGTAATCAGTACCAAAAAAGAAAGAAAAAATCAAGAATAACAAAGTTCAGTAATATACCAAAAAAAAAAAAAAAAAGAGAGAGTAACCAGTACATTGAATCTGAGTTCAGAGAAATGATAAAGCTAGGTAAAAATCAGATGATTTGAGGAAAATCAGTAAACAATTAATACATGCAAGTAAATCTGAAAGTGTGCATATATAGCCTAGAAGATTTTTTTTTTAAGATTTTGTTGGGCCCGGCGCGGTGGCGCAAGTGGTTAAGGTCCTCGCCTTGCACGCCCCAGGATCCCATATGGGTGCCGGTTCTATCCCAGCAGCCCCGCTTCCCTTCCAGCTCCCTGCCTGTGGCCTGGGAAAGCAGTCGAGGACGGCCCAAAGCTTTGGGACCCTGCACCCGCGTGGGAGACCTGGAAGAGGCTCCTGGCTTCGGATTGGCATAGCATTGGCAGTTGCGCTCACTTGGGGAGTGACTCATCGGATGGAAGTTCTTCCTCTCTGTCTCTCCTCTCTGTATATCTGCCTTTCCAATAAAAAAATAATAAACATAAACCTAAAAAAAAAAAGATTTTGTTTATTTTTATTACAAAGTCGTATGTACAGAGAGGAAGAGAGACAGAGGAAGATCTTCCGTCCATTGGTTCACTCTCCAAGTGACTGCAACAGCAGCTGCTGCGCTGATCCGAAGTCAGGAGCCAGGAGTCTCTTCCTGGATTCCACACGGGTGCAGGGTCCCAAGACTTTGGGCCGTCCTCAGCTGCTTTCCCAGGCCACAAGCAGGGAGCTGGATGGGAAGTGGGGCCACCAGGATTAGAACTGGCGGCCATATGAGATCCCTGTGCTTATAAGGCAAGGACTTTAGCCTCTAGGCCACCACACCAGGCCCATCCAATATAGTCTTACACACTTTAAAAAGTAAAAACTTGAGACCCTAGGGACAGGTATTTTATATATTTTCTCCTGTTATTTAGAACAGCAATTATGTATTTATTTATGTGTTTGTTTATTTGAAAAGTAAAGTTACAGAAGCAGTGGGGAAGGGTACAGAGAGAAATATCTTCAACCCATTAATTGACTTCCTAAATGACTACAGTGACCAGAGCTGGAACAGGCTGAAGCCAGCTCCATCCTAGGCTCCTGTGTGGGTGCAGGGACCAAAGTACTTAGGCGATTTTTTTTTATTGCTTTCCCAGGCACCGTAGCAGGGAACTAGATCAGAAGTGGAGCAGCAGATATGAGGAGCTGAGATGCTGACATGCCAGGCAGTGGCCCAGCCCACTGCACCACAATGCTGACTCCCAGTATATTTATTTATTTATTTTCTTTCTTTTCTCTTCTCTTCTTTTCTTTTCTTTCTTAAGATTTATTTATTTTTATTGCAAAGTCAGATATACAAAGAGGAGAGAGACAGAGAGGAAGATCTTCTGTCCAGTGATTCAGTCCCTAAGTGACCGCAACAGCCAAAGCTGAGCCTATCCGAAGCCAGGAACCCAGAGCTTCTTCTAGATCTCCCCCACAGGTACAGGGCCCCAAGGCTTTGGGCCATTCTTGACTGCTTTCCCAGGCCACAAGCAGGGAGCTGGATGGAAGTAGAGCTACCAGGATTAGAACCGGCACTGATATGGGATCCAGGCATGTTCAAGGCGAGGACTTCAGCCACTAGGCCGCTGCACCAGGCCCTCCCTGAACGTTACCCAACATACATCTGCAGATTGTATTCAGAATCTCAGTCTGTAAACCAGATCATTTCAGAACCACCCCTGGCCGATACCGAATTCAAAATGTTCCCTTTCCCTTTGCCATCAGGTTTGGTTCTGGTTTTGATTCTGTTTTGCTTAGCTGTTCATGACTATTGTGAAATGTAGTCTTATGAGAAGTCTGTTGACGTGAGGTTTGCCTAGGTGACCATGTCGGTGTCTGTTGACTTGTTGACCCTCCAGGTGCCAGCTTGTTCTGGAATGCCGTGGGTGACGACCAGGAGCCAGACCCTCAGCGGAAGCACGATGATACCAAGATTTCCAGTGAGGACATGAATTTTTCTGTTGATATTAATAATGAAATCACAAGTCCGCCGGGTAGTGCCTCGTCCCTAAAAGCCGTCGATATTCCCAGCTTTGAAGAGAGCAGCACTGCCGTGGAGGAAGATTGTAACCAGCCACTTTCTGTATCAAAGTAAGGTCTCTTTGATTGAATGTTTTAGTCTTTTTTTCTAACTTTTCATTTTTCAGTTGACATTTACTTGCCTGTTTTTATGAGGTGCAGTGTGATATTTTCACATATACTTACGAATAACTAGTCAATAAATCACCTCCCTATTTTTGTGGTAGTAACGTTTAGAATCTAGTGATTTTGAAATATACATTATGTTATTATTCGTCACCATTCTGTACAGATTTTTCTGTATAGGTGCTAATAGTCCTTTAATCTTTTAAGTCAAACTATTTGTTTTCTAAATAGTATTTTACTGGTGTCTTTACCTGATACGCTTTCTATGTAACTGGTAATTCTGAGCCTCTTAGAGCCATTCCCAGAGGTCAGTCATTTCATGCCTTCCCAGTCTTGTTGAAGCCAAACATCTGAAGAAAACTTCCCCCAAAACTGCATATTCGCAAGTCCTACCCCTCGGCATTTGATCATTCTCGGTTATAGGTTCTTGTACATTTTTAAAGACTTCTCATATTGCAATTATATATATAACAGCATTTTTAGATGTGCAACCTGAATATTTATATATGGAATTATCTGAGCTAGGCTCAAAATAATCTGGTAGGAAATGAAACTGCTTAAGGTATAAATAAAGTAAGAATGATTGGGAGTTGCTAATTCCAAATAGATTATAATGGTGGTTTGTACATGGCTCTGTTTTGTAGAAAAATTTTCACTATGAAGTTTTCTATTAAAAAAAATAAAGATTTAAAAATGATTCAGAATTTCTACAAATTTGGAAATAGAGTCAACAAAAAATATTCTGAGCTTCTGGTCTGTGCTACCACAGAAGTAGGGTTCTCTCGTGGCGGGCTTACCCTGAGAGAAGGTTCCTCTTGGGCCTGGGAGATGCCAAGGACTCAGTCACTGCCTGCGGCAGTGGTTTTGGCCTGCTGAGGCCCCAGCCTCGGATCCTGCTGGCACGGGCTCCCCCCATGGTCGCCACACTGCGGGGGGGGGCTGCCATCCTGCCATCTGCCCCCAACCCCAAGGCCCCAATCCCAGAAGTAGGCATTAGAGATTAAGAAGATAAGTTAAGCAAAGCTCTTAATGTTACAGAATTTAAACACTTCAGCAAAGACAAAACAATTGTGCATAGTGACTACTGCTCTGAGTAAAATAGCCAGGGTATTCAAATTCAGCGTGACTGGAATGGTAGCAAGGGAGTGATGTGATCTGCAAGTGAGGTGGCAAGAGAACCCTGCTCTGAGGGTGTGACTTGTGAGCAGTGACAAATGAGAAGGGGCCAATTTAAGAACATCTGGGGAAGAGAATTCTAAGTAGGGTAAATGGCAGGCATGGAGACCTGAGGCACGTAGGTGCTTGGCAGTTCCAGAAACAAGCAGGAAGGCTAGAAATGCTCTCACTGGTAATGCTGTAACGCCGTAGTGAGTGGCAGGGAGGGTCAAGGAAATGAGACGACAACAGTGGCAGCAGTCAGATTACACAGGGCTTTGCAGGATGTAGAAACGTGGTTCAGATTTATACTGTGCCCATCAATGCCACTGGAGATTTTTAAACAGTGAAGTGGTATGATCTGATTTTTTTTTGAAAACCAGTCTAGTTGTTTTGTACTAAACTAAAGAGCATTATAGAGAACTAAAGAGAATTCATATTGTAAACTGATAAACTAAACACCAGGCAAGATAAAGGTAGTGTGGAGTTATGGTGGAAATGTTGGAAGGGATCAGGATAGGATACATTTTAAAGCTAAAAGATAATGTAAGTGTAGAACACCTCAGGGTAATATCCCATGAAACAGTTAAAGCAGTTGAACTTGGGTGCCCAGGGCACCACTCATCTAAATGGAGGAGAGAATGAAGGATATGGGGTCTAAAACCAAGGATGTGAGGCCTGGCATGGTGGTCTAGTGGCTGAAGTCCTCACCTTGAACATGCCGGGATCCCATATGGGCAGCAGTTCTAATCCCAGCATCCCTGCTTCCCATTCAGCTCCCTGCTTGTGGCCTGGGAAAGCAGTCGAGGATGGCCCACTGCCTTGGGACTGGACCCTGCATACTTGTGGGAGACCTGGAAGAAGCTTCTGACTCCTGGCTTCGGATCAGCTCAGCTCTGGCTATTGTATCTGCTTGGGGAGTGCATAGGAAGACGCAAAGTGTTTCTTGCTGTCTCTCCTTCTCTGTGTACATCTGACTTTCCAATAAAAATAAATAAATCAAGAAGAAAGAGTTGAACTTGGAATTGAGGTGGCAGGAGGCAGGCATTGGATTGTCTCCTGCCCTTTTTTTTATTCTGAAATAGATCTGCCTCTCCAGAGAAAAGCTTTCACCTTTCAGTATAGTATAAACTTCAAACATAAGACAATTAAGCAGTCACTGTAGGTGCCACAGTATTTTGAAAAGATGTACATTTTCTTGGCTAGAATGAGTTCCTGCAGGGTGGGGCTCATATTCATGTCTGTTTTAGAACTTAAACAGCCGTCTAGTTCCCTGTGTTAGGTTCTTCATAAATGTTCCCTGGTGGGAAGAGCACTTTGTGGTGAGCTCCAAGGTCAGTACACATTTTATTTGGAACAGTAGTAGAAGCTGAGGACAAAGGAAAGAACCATAGTTGTCCTTCGTTATCTTCTTTTCACTTCACTCTGTAAGTGGCAGACTGCTTTCTAGAATTAAGGGACTTTTCAAGTTAGAAGTTAAGAAAAAAGTGAAAACTTGGCAGTTTTTAACCTGAAAAACAACTGAGTTAATTAGTAGAATGAAGTTAATTACTTTTTCAGAGCCATTAATCAGCTTTATTGATCCCAATAGGTACCCAGGTGTGACTGTAGTGTTTGTGCACCGCAGTGCACTGATTAGAGTTCAGCGCTCTGCATGTAGTCCATGCTGCTTTGGATGCTCCTCTTGGATCCTCACGCATCTGGCTGAATTATTGCACAGTGGTCCCTCGCTAAGTATTTACCTGTGTCATCTACCTAGCTGGACTCCTTGTCCCTCTGAAAGATGTCCTCTGGTCGGTCTCTGATGTTGAAGCAGTCTATGGAAGATGGATTTGTTTGTGTTGCAGCTTAATTGGGTATTGATTGCTTTTTCCAAATGGAAAGTAGTGAGTGATACATGGTATTTATGAAGACACTTTCTTTTTAAAAGGAGCCTTATTTTCCTTAAAAGCCATGCTTTTGACATATCTTATAAGACTTTGCATGTTAGAACCATCTTTTACATTTTAAAAATGATTTATTTATTTTTTTTTTTAAATTGGAGAGTCAGATATACAGAGAGGAGGAGAGACAGAGAAGATCTTCTGTCTGTTGATTTACTCCCCAAGCTGCTGCAACAGCTGGAGCTGAGCTGATCTGAAGCCAGGATCCAGGAGTTTCTTCTGTGTCTCACTTTTGGGTGCAGGGTCCCAAGGCTTTGGACCATCCTTGATTGTTTTCCCAGGGAGTTTGATGGGAAGAGGAGCCGCTGGGACTATAACTGGCACCGATATGGGATCCTGGTGTGTGCAAGGCAAGGAATTTAGCCACTAGGTTACTGTGTTGGATCCTAACTCTTTTTTTTTTTTTTTTTTAAAGATTTATTTTTATTATTATTTTTTCATTGGAAAGGCGGATATACAGAGAGGAGAGACAGAGAGGAAGATCTTCCGTCCGATGATTCACTCCCCAAGTGAGCGCAACGGGCCGATACTATGCCGATCCGAAGCCAGGAGCCTCTTCCGGGTCTCCCACGCGGGTGCAGGGTCCCAAAGCTTTGGGCCGTCCTTGACTGCTTTCCCAGGCCACAGGCAGGGAGCTGGAAGGGAAGCGGGGCTGCCGGGATTAGAACCGGCGCCCATATGGGATCCCGGGCGTGCAAGGCGAGGACCTTTAACCAATTGCGCCACCGCGCCGGGCCCGGATCCTAACTCTTACATTTTTAATTTAAATCTTAAATCTCTTGAGGTTTGAAATCTGTAATGTTTTGATTCAGTCTTTTTCAAAATTTGTTTCCGCTTGCTAGGTTAGACACCAAGTCAAACTTTCAAACTCAAGAAGTGGTGTAGCAGAATGATTCAAAGCATGAGTTCTGGTGTCAGACTGTTGGGAACAGACTGTCAGGGTTTGAATCACAGAGTGTGGTCACCTGAGGTCTGATGTCAGACACATTTTACAGAGAGAGGAGAGATAAACAGAAGGTCTTTCATCCCAGGTTCACTTCCCAAATGGCCACAGCAACCGAGCTGAACTGATCCGAAGTATTTGTACATATATATTTTTAAAACCAGTTTGTTTTTTTGGGGGATAGACACCAAAAGTGAGATTGCTGAGTCAGGATGCATTATTAGCGGGAAGCTGAATCAGAAGCAGAGCAAGGATTCCAGCCCCAGCGCTTAGATGGGGTGCTGGTGGCGCAGGCCGTGCCCCGGGGCTGCACTAAGGCCTGCCCTGCTTCCTGGTGTGTGGTAGTCGTCCCAGCGGGGGAGCTGTGAGACCTTAGAATGGGTGTGACCTGATTGTTTTGATTAGTGGCAGTGAAAATTTCTTCATACTTGCTAGCTATTCCTTTTCTTGTTAATGTATCTTCTTTGGAGAGCTATATTTACATTTTTGCCTGTTTTAAAGTAGGTTATATGACCTTTTTGTTGTTACCTTAGAAGAGATCTATATATTTTTAGATAGGTTTCTCTTTTATCCCTTTGTCAAGTGTACCATTTGCCAATATTTTCTTTGGCTCAAGATTTTTTTAAGGCATTTTCTTCCATATGTAAGATTTAATTCTTGCTATCTATTTTAGTGACTCAAATTAGGATGCTGAAGAAAATTAATTACCCTGAATGTTTGTTTTTTTCACCTTTTTAAAAGAAGCTTTATTTTTTAAAAATAAATAATATATTGGGCCCGGTGCGGTGGCGCAATGGTTAAGGTCCTCGCCTTGCACCCCCGGGATCCCATATGGGCGCCAGTTCTAATCCCGGCAGCCCTGCTTCCCATCCAGCTCCCTGCCTGTGGCCTGGGAAAGCAGTCAA